TTTGAGAAAAAACATGTCCTCGTATGAGGACAGTGGGTCTCTCATAACCTAAAGAAAAAATGTATGCTCTTTGAGGCCGGAAGGTCCTAATTAGTTGAAATTCAAAATTTCAGCTTGATCCAATTAGTACTTCTCTCAAAAATCAATGTCCTCATATGAGTACAGTGGGTCGACCTTACTATACAATACAAATAGACTCCATTGGTCTAAAATAGTATATAACAGTTTATTTGAAAAATGTAAACATCAAAGTTAGACATAAAATCCAAACAGCTCTATCTTCAAAGCCTAAAAATGTCATGGTGTGGACATTTTGACCTGGTTGAGTTTGAATCCTGCCTGTCCTGTTGATTGTTGCCCCGCCCTAATGTGATTCACCTGTGTGTCCCTGTGTGTGTATATATACCCTGTGCCCTTCCTCACTTGTTGTCCGTCCATTGTCTCCACAACGTTTGTCCTGTCTTCAGTTCTGTTTTTACATTACCTTGGATTTATTTTATTAAATTACTTTGATTTTCAGTCCTGCAATTTGGGTTCCCTTTTTCTTCATTCATCCACATGACAAAAAATTGGCTATACATAAATAAAACTGCAAAATACTGTGTAAACTGTCTATTTCAAGCCTTCAATATGGCTGAATTGATTTGATAAATACAATACTAGAACAAATAATGGCAAATATTATTAACAGTCCTAAAACAGTAAAATTCTGCTGAACAGCTTTTGAACCGGGGCTTTTTTCAAACTAGCTCCCTCTCTTTTTCTAGAAAGCAATCTGTCTGCCTGTTTGGAAGAGCCCTATTGGCAAGTGTGAAATGCTGCAAAGCAGTTGCGTTCACTTTGCAAGCACAGGTACACATTGCATGTGCATCGGACACAGGATTTTGCAGTCTTGTGCTCTGCAACGCATGGGGTTTTTCAAGGCTACCATCTCCGGGTTAGGGTTAGGGTTACAATATCCCCAGTCGAGGTCAGCAGCTCTCCACCCGCACCATACACGGTGTTGGCAAAGAACTGCTTCCCTCTCCTGAGGCGCCGGAGGGTTTGCCAGAACCTTTTTGAGGCCGACCGATAGTCATGCTCCATGGACTCTCTAAACTCCTCCCAGTCCCGGGTTATTGCCTCTGCAACAGCCCGGGCGGCGGCACGCTTGGCCTGCCGGTACTGGACAGCCGCCTCAGGAGTCCCACGAACCATCATTGCTCGATAGGACTCCTTTAGCCTGACGGCATCCCTTACTGCCGGTGTCCACCACCGGGTTCGGGGACCAGCACCAGAGACCTTGCGACCACAGCTACGAGCCGCTTTATTGGCGATAGAGGAAGAGAACATGGTCCACTCGGACTCAACGTCCCCCTCCTCTGGGTCCTGGGAGAAGCTCTCCCGGAGGTGTGAGTTCAAAGTCCGTCTGACAGGGGGCTCAGCGAGACGTTCCCAGCAGACCCTCACTATACACTTGGGCCTGCCAGGTCTGACCGGCTTCCTTCCCTGCCAGCGGATCCAACTCACGACCAGGTGGTGATTGGTTGACAGCTCCGCCCCTCTCTTTACCCGAGTGTCCGAGACACACGATCGAAGGTCAGATGATACGACAACAAAGTCGATCATCGACCTCCGGCCTAGGGTGTCCTGGTGCCACGTGCACTGGTGGACACCCTTGTGCTCGAACATGGTGTTCGTGATGGACAGACCGTGACTGGCACAGAAGTCCAACAACTGAACACCGCTTGGGTTCAGATCAGGGGGGCCGTTCTTCCCGATCACCCCTCTCCAAGTGTCACTGGCATTTCCCACATGCGTTGAAGTCCCCCAGGAGAATAACGGAGTCCCCGGGCGGTGCACCGTCCAGTACCCCTCCCAAGGACTCCAAGAAGGCCGGTACTCGGCACAGCCGTTAGGCCCGTAGGCCGTCACAACAATGAGAGACTTGTCCCCCACCCGGAGGCGGAGGGACGCGACCCTCTCATTCACCGGGGAGAACTCCAACACGTGGCGGCTGAGATGGGGGGCAATGAGTATGGCCACCTCAGCTCGCCGCCTCTCCCCGTGGGAAACACCAGAAGCTGACTGACAGGTATGAGCTGATGATACAATCATCCCCATCTGAGAAGTCCTCTATCTCAGAGTTGTCTGCAATTGCCAACAGCAATTGTTCTGCTCTTGATAATGAAAGTGTGCCTGTAATGATAATTTTAAAAACCAACATCAAAATCTACAGTATATCAGTGACACATCATAGCTTGGCTATCATGTGCTAGCTATAGCCTAGCTATATTGTTTATGATTAAGCATTTAGCAACACTTCACAATACTTAGCATATACCACTTAGTACTTAAATATACTATTTACAACTGTAAACCACATAACTAAGCAAATGTGTGATTCAAAATAACTATTTACAACTGTAACTTCATCTAAATCTTCCACACAGTTAGCTAAACAGATAGCGGTACATAGTCCTAGCGTCCTCAAATGAGTGCTTCACTTTTACTGACATCCTAGCCTGCTACTACATTCAAAATTTGTCAAATTTCTCCATATGAAGCTAGAGACATTATTGTGCATAAATAAATTGATTTCATTCATAAAATGTTGATAGAATTTTTACCTGGGGCATTTTTCTTCTGTGAACTCTTGTAGAAGTCTTTTGTTGATATTCCCACCATTTTTTTCCTACCGCTTTAAGTGTAATTCTATCATATCACCACAAGATGGCGCGGGCAGTGTCCTGTGGCCATCAGGTCAAGGATGTAAAAAATTGAGTATCATTGTGCCAAGAGGCAAAAATGTAATGTCCTCGTATGAGGTCGCAGGGTCTCAGGAGGTTAAGATGGAGTCATGGAAACGTTTAGAAGGCAGTTTTTTAATATGCGCAGGATCATCACTGGTGACATGAGCTCATCAGTCGCATCAACAAAAGTGAAAATCCTAGTCAGCAGGTAGTACATTGTATTAATATTAAAACTGGTGCAGGGAACAGTGAGGCATATGGGTTTGTACATACAAATGTTTGTTATAACCTCCAGAGTCACTACATCACTTTGCAAAGAGAATTAAAATTCAATGGGACTTTTCCGCAGAAAGTCATAAAAGGTAGCTTCTATCATTTACTACATCACATTCTACAAATGACTCACTCCAATCATTAACCTGTTGAGTTTTCTGCCCCATTGTTTGTTAGAGGTCGTCCCTCACACAGTGAACAATAGAGGTTATCATGTTAGCCGCTCACACGGGGACACAGGTATGTGCTGACACTTTCAGCATGGGCCATTGCAACATGGCATTTGTGTTGTTTCAACAACACAACAAGGAGCAGCACGGCTCAAATCCAACCATTTCAAAGGCACATTGTTTTTATAGAGTTACACATAGTCTATAGTAAATATTTGAACACTGAAAGTAGTTCACACTTTGCATATTAATAGTACTATGGTTTCAGACATGTATATGGCTTTTACTGAATCATAAAAAGTTTAAACTCTTGCCAATTGTTCCCATGGGTTTTAGGAGTCACTATAGTATTTGGATGCAACCGTGAGCGAGTAAATATGTTTTATTTATTACTCAGAAAGTCATGAAAGTATTAGTCATTTACTCCATACACTGTGATGGAATAGCTTCCATACTTCTGTAGACGCAGCTGCTTTGAGTTAGACTGAGGGAAATGTGGCAACCGTATTGCCTCCAACTCCACTCATGTGTTCACACACTAGAATCATACTCGATCATGTGGACAAAGCATATAGTGTAAATCATTATGTCTGAGGACACAATAACAGTGTTTTTGCACCAGAGACACTCTCCCACTGATACTATAGTGGTGTCATATCCAAGTACTAATCTGTACGTCGCCCGGACTCAAGGGAAGGCTTGTTGTATCCCTACCTTCTCGCCCTTCATGTGGACTATTCAAGCTTCTTCCGTCAGGCAGGAGGCTACAGAACAGGCAGAACCTTCCACTATGAGGAGCAGTTTGTTCACAAGTTTGACTCATGATGTCATCACCAGATCCCGGCGCCTTTACTATCATCACTTTATTCTTCTGCCACCTGATGATATCGTGCCCCTGGACACTTACTCATAATCTGCTCTGTTCAATGTCTAGTGTGTGTATTTATGTATTTTATTAAGATTTTACTATGATTTTCTTTTGATGCATGCTTTTATACATATATTTTTGTCATTTTTTATTTTTTTGTCGGATTCTAACCAAGTCTTGGCTTGTTCTCGTTTATGGAGATCTGACACCATCTCCAATATTACCTGTATAGATGTATTAACCAGTTTGTCACCGGTTCTCTTCTTTTGCTCTGCAGCGTGTGTGTCATGTGTGTCATGTGTGTGAGCAGCTGAGCAAACACAGCTCTGTCTCTGTTGTGATTCAGGGTCACTGGAGCGGCGCCCCCTGCTGTTTGGACGCAGACTGTGTGTGGCCTCAGGTGTCACAACATGAGGACCACAGACCTTCCTCAGACAATTGAAAACTATTTTTGAATATACAATCTTCTAGTATTTTACCTCATGCTCTCGTATTAATCTATAATTACATTTGGCCTATTTTTGCGAGTCATCAAAAAGGTGATTTGCTCACTGCTGTTCACTGAATTATAATTTTCTGACCACTAGAGAGAGTAATATCAAATTGGAGATATTACAGTAAAACTCTAGCCTGGTCTTACCATACCATTGTACTCATTTCATTTTTCACATGTAGGAAAAGGATAACTGACCCAAGTTTACGGATGGCTAAGGCTAGGCTTGTAAAACTCAAACAAACATGTAATGGTTTTTATGTATTGTATGGTCTTGAAGCATTTTTCATATGGACACAGATCTGTATGTAGTTAATTTGCAGATAATTGACAATAGAAATAGGAAATTTCCTTTCAAACTGTCTTTCAAAAGCTTCATATTTTTGGAGAATAAATCAAATCACAGTTGATGTTTCTTCTTCATCGGTGAACAGAAAGGTTTCATGTTTAGTTATTGAAGTTAATCAAAGATCTCTCATTTTTTCATTGAGTGTGGGCGGGGAAGAAGTAGACGGAATTTCAATGTTGTCCACAATTTCCCTTAGATCGTCTGGCGTGTTGTCTTTTCCTGTCCCAGGAAACAACATGCGTTAACATCAAAATGCTTCCTTCTGCTGGGCAAAAATACTATTGGTTTCATGAATGTGGCATCACATTCTCTGCGTACAATATTTTAAATCATTTCTGAAATGTCATTGTTGTAAGTTGAAAGAATTTGTAATATGTGTGTAATATAATTTTATAACGAGTTGGTGGAGACAATTAGCAACTTGTTAAGATTGAAAAGTATGGTTCAGCATTTGTGGATCATGCATTGGGAGATTTCTATCATTACCAGTAAATAGCCTAGTAAATAATGCCCACTATATATAATGACATCATACAAATCTTCAATGCAAACAAAACCTATAATCTCACCTCGGAAACATTTCTGGAAACTCTCAGATCTTGTGAGATACAGGTACAACAAACCAAACACTGTTATTACACCAAAAAATCCTCCAAATGCAATTCCAATCAGGAGAGAGTTCCCTGAGCCGTTATCTGATGAGAAATAACCACATAGGAATCATACTGGTTAAATAATGGTTTAACGGGTTGTGAAAACTTACCATAAACATACAAGTACGCAGTGGGTGCAGCTGGGTAACCACTTCGCTGGCATACCACCTTGGTGCCATTGTCGGGTAAAGACGTGCCTTTGAGGACCCATCCAGCCAGTAGAAGGTCCAAATGCACAACACACAACCCCTCGAGAGCCTGGGAAGTGGATTAGGCAAAACATAAGTCTCTCCGCTTGACATAGAAACCACCTGTGAGAATTACTGGAGGAGATCGTGAACCAAGGGGGAGGGAGCTCACCAGTTCATCAATGATTTAAATGTATTGTGTCCCATAAAGAATCATAGGTCTAACTGATGCTGTCACAACTATTCAACTAAAACTATTTCAAATACAATCAGATTTTACAGTATTACTTGTTCAATCATAAACATTCCCTGTTCATCAAAGGGGGTGTAGCAAAAGCTCTAAAAACAAGTACTTTTTAAAATCTAAATTGTATAAATCTGACCTAAATTGTATGTATAAGGAACTATTATGGAATAAAGTCACTCAAATAATAATAAAACTTCTGATCTAGAATCAATAACAAAATAATAGTCTAATTTTCATCAAACCTATGCAGCAGTTTTCCCATAGAAATCCTTGAATAATTCTAATTCAGACCTATACAGATCACTTTTATGCAGCTGTGGCTATGCTTTATTGACCTGGGGTATGTCCTCGACGTGTCCAGTGGGGCAGCTGAGGGTGAAGTTTTGAGCTCTGCCGTAGAAAGTGAAAGTGAGACCCTCTGAGCTCTTCGGGACCCCACACCAGAACTGGGCTGGATCCCCCAGTGCGGAGGTAGTGTTGGAAGGCATAGTGTGGTAGCCAGAGGGGGAGGGTGACGGGGCAGAAGAGTAAGTGGACTGGGGGACAGTGGTGTTGGAGGAGATGGTGGTGTTACTTTGGGCTAAAAACAAGAACATATATCACAAGGGAAACTGAATGTTTGAGACCAAAAAGCTGAAGACTAAAGCAGTAGGTTGCATTCTTGTTGTAGAATTGTATTTCAGTTGTAGGGCAGGTGCCAATTCAACTCTGTGGTAACGATGCAATTTGGAAAAAAATGTTTAAATAGAGTCCAAATGTTTTCCCAGATCATTATTTGTGGTTCGATTCAGAAAGCATATCATTTTTATGTCAGAAATTCTTGTCTACATTCTTGTCTAAATAATGAATACAGTATTTTGTTTTACAGAAAATGTTGATCATTTTAGTTTATGCAAAAGTGGACAGATTGAGATACTGTATGAGGAGGTGTGGCTTTCCAATGAGCAAATTCATCTTTCAAGTTTTTAGTTTAGTGTTATAAATTTAGTTTCATCCATATCACGAGTTGTATCATTTAGTGTTACTGAACAAGAAAACCTAAAAGAGTAAAACAAAAAATCTTTTGTTTAAAGGAGAGAGTTATTTTTAAACTGTTGTTCTCGGAAACAATTACCTGAGGTGTGTTTGGTGATCTGGAGAATGGCCAGAACCACACAGATTACACTCTTCCTCCCAAACAGCTCCTCACTTCTCTTCTGCATTTTGAATGGTTTTATCCTAGTTTGTCGAAGTTTCTGATACTTTCCTACCATCGAAACAGCACATATAAACACAACAGTGCCATTTTTATTATAGATGCACATGCTTTAAGATATATAACAACAATGACATTTGCACAGATAATGTGGTAAATCTCCCTGATCGTACACCCTGTTAAAACACTGCTTGTAGAGCTTTATAGCCACAAATTAAAAAATATTCTGAAGCTAATGTAATAAAACCTGCCTTTAATCAGTCTATATTGACAGGCAAATGATAACTGATATAATTATAGCAACATTCTCTTTAACACTGTCAATGTCTATTGGGGTTGAATATGTTAACTTTCCCTAGAATGGGTGATTATTGTAATAAAATATAAATCTAAATGAAAGAAAAATTAATTTGTAAGTACCTGCTCACATCTTTCTCTCGGTGTGCACTTGCAGGAATACTTCACATCTTCCTGATTCACAAGAGCTTAAAACGAGCTGAACTGGTCGAACTGGAGACATTCTGAAGACAACATTTCCCGTTCACATTCAGAGACCCGATATTGTACACACATCATGAGTAGTATTCATCAAAGGATTAAAAAAAAAAAACTCACAATATATATTTTTTATGACATTATTTGATTTGGTCCTGCACACAGAAACACACACATATACATTAAAGCTGGTATACAATACATATACATATGCTTATCAACAAGAACATGCAAATATGTATCACTGCAAGGATTGTATGAAACAAAAAACAGTGGGTCATATGATGTTGAAACGAAAACAGGAAATCCACTAGGACAAAAAACTTGACACGATACAAAAGGTAGATGAGTGTGTGTCGCCCTCTTGTGTTCTAACTGCCATAATGCATGAGAGTTACAGACAATAGTCCTTTTTTAAATACAAAACTGCAATGAGTAACACAAACACCTCACAAATGCAATCGTTTTAATAGTTCTTAAAACTGGGATACCTGCCTTTCAACATTTAATCAATCAATCAATCAACGTTTATTTGTAGAGCGCCTTTCCTACACAAGGCAACGCAAAGCGCTTCACATCCCCTATCACGTCATGCATAAATCAAACACATTAAGAGCACAAGATATATTAAAAACATTAAAAATAAAATCACAAAAATTAAAACTTTTTAAACATTAAAATCACAGATGGGACTAAAATCATAAATAGTCACAGTGCATTAAAAAGATTAAAGATAAAAACAAAGATGAAAAGATAAAATCATTCAGTTGTATATGCGCAGCTAAACAGAATTGTTTTGAGCCTAGATTTAAAAGATGCCAGAGTAGACGCCTGTCTCACATTCTCAGGAAGACGGTTCCAGACTCTAGCCGCATGAATCTGAAATGCAGTTTGCCCATGTCTAGTACCGACTCTGGGCACTAACAGGAGTCCAGTCCCTGCGCTCCTCAGAGTCCGGGTCGGTTCATATGGCACAAACATGTCGTGGATGTACCTTGGCGCGAGACCATGGAGAGACTTGTACACAAGTAAAGCTGCTTTGAAGTCTATTCTCTGAGGAACAGGAAGCCAGTGCAGATACCTGAGAACTGGACTAATGTGGTCGTACCTCCTAGTTCTGGTCAGGACTCGAGCTGCTGCATGTTGAATGTACTGCAGCTGTTTTACAGCCTGTTTGGAGAGACCTGTGAACAAGCCATTGCAATAGTCTAACCGACTGGAGACAAAAGCGTGTATAAGAGTCTCCAAGTCTGCCTTAGACACTATGTTTTTAATTTTAGCAATGTTTTTTAGGTGGTAATAAGCTGCTGATGTTACAGATTTTATGTGGCTTTTGAAATTTAAGTCTGAGTCCATTATCACTCCTAGATTTCTGACCTGATTTGAGGGTTGTAGAGAGAGAGCCTGGAGGTGACAAATAACGCTCTCTCTTTGTTTCTGGGGTCCGAAAACAATTATTTCAGTTTTGTCGGTGTTTAGTTGGAGAAAGTTATTTTGCATCCAATCACCGATTTGCTGGACACAGTGAAGGAGCGAGTCCACTGGTTCATGCTCTCCTGCTGTCAGGGACACATAGACCTGAGTATCGTCAGCGTAATTGTGATAAGAGACATTAGTACTGTGAATCAACTGACCTAGAGGCAACATGTAAATATTAAACAGAAGAGGACCCAGGATTGACCCCTGTGGCACTCCGCAGGTCAGGGCCAAGTGGTCTGAGGTACAGTTTTCGATCTCCGCAAAAAACTTTCTGTCTTGTAAATAGGACCTAAACCAGCTTAGGGCGGTGCCAGCAACACCAACCCAGTCCTCAAGTCTCTGAATGAGGATGCCATGATCAATAGTGTCAAAAGCAGCACTTAAATCTAACAGAAAAAGGACTGAGACTTTTCCTGCGTCAGTGTTTAGTTTGATGTCATTTGTTACCTTTATTAGCGCGGTCTCAGTGCTGTGGTGGGGTCTAAACCCTGACTGGAACATATCATAAGCATTATTGATTATTAAAAATTCTGTAAGTTGTTGATAGGCAACTTTTTCTAGAATTTTTCCCATGAAAGGCAGATTTGAAATGGGCCGATAATTTTTGAGTGCCAGGGCTTCCAGACTCCTCTTTTTTAGGAGGGGCCTGATGACCGCCGTTTTCAAAGCCATTGGGAATGTTCCAGATTCAAGAGACATATTAACTATTTGTGTAAGTGAAGGTAAAAGACTGCTCAGAACTGACTTGAGAAATCTAGGAGGTAATACATCCAGGCTGCATGTGGAGGAACTCAGACTAGTGATTATCTCCTGGACAGTTTCAATTTGTACTGGTGTAAAGTGCGTCAGCCCAAAAAGCCTCACTGGCGGTTGGATTATTATTTCTATCGTGGAGGTGATGGCGTTTTTGATACCTTGGACTTTGTCATTAAAGAACTGAGCAAACTCATTACATTTAGATTTGGAAGTAAGTTCTGATGGCATCTTAACAGGGGGATTCGTCAATCTATTTACTGTTGAAAACAGAACACGTAGATTGTTGCTACAGCCTTCAATAGTTTCAGAAAAGTACATTTCCCTCGTTCTACGTAGTTCCCTGTTAAAATTGCACAACGCATCTTTGAAGATCTCATGGTCAACTTTGAGATTTGACTTTCGCCACTTCCGCTCGGCCTTCCGGCACGCTCTCGTCTGTGCCCTGACCGAGTCTGCTTCAGTCCATGGCGCTTTTTGCTTGTTTGTAACTATTTTAACCTTTACAGGAGCAATTGTATCCAGAACATTCAAAACAGTGGTGGTGACAGAGTCAAGTAATTCATCTACAGTAACACACAACGTGTTCTCAAAGTTTACCCTCCCCATGAACAGTTCGCCTGTATTATCATTTATGTGTCTTCTTCTAACAACCGAAGATTCAGCTGGTGGTTTACAATCAAGACACATGTCAAAAAATACACAGAAATGATCAGACAGAGCAACATTGACCACATTTACATTTGAAATATTAACCCCCTTGGTAATTAACAGATCGAGAGTGTGTCCTCTGCTGTGGGTGGGGCCACTCACATGCTGAGTGAGACCAAAGGTTTTCAGCACAGAGCTCAGCTCTATTGCATATCTATCATTAGCATTATCTACATGTATATTGAAATCACCTATAATGACTAAACCATCAAAATCTGTGCACACAACTGAAAGCAACTCAGTGAAATGATCAGTGAAACTATGGCATGACTGTGGCGGCTTGTACACAACAATAATAAGAATGGAAGAAGATTTCTTTTGTTCTATTTTAAAAGAAACATACTCAAATGATGAAAATTTCCCAAGAGACACTCTATGGGAGACAATACGATCTTTAAAAACTGCTGCTATGCCCCCCCCCTTTTATTTTCTCGTGTTTCATATTCAAATTTGAAATTTGGTGGTGAGGCTTCTATTAAAACTGCATCTCCTGTATTATGGTCAAGCCATGTTTCAGTCATAAACATAAAATCAAGATCATACGAACAGATAAAATTATTAATTAAAAATGATTTGTTGCATAGTGATCTGACATTAAGTAGAGCAAGGTTAAAATTAATATCAGTGTCAGTGGGTTTAGTTGATTGATTACAAAGAACTGGAATTAGATTTCCAGAGTTGGACCGTCTAACTGCTGTCCTTCTTTTAAATTTGTGTTTATTCAAGTTAAAACACATTTCTGAGCTGGTGCGAGGAACACACACAGTCTCTATTGGTTTAAAAAGTGAACTCTGTTGTACTTTGTTAAGTTCCAGATGCATAACTGAGTCAGCACAGTTCAGTGGCAGGACTGTCGTTACACTGCCAGACGGACAGGGGTCAGTGTTTGCACCACAGTACTCACCCGGTGCTGGTAAGGAGCATGGATCATGGATGTATTATATTAACTGGATAGGGTATTGCTAGCTTATAGCTGAATAACCCACGTGCTCAGGGGATTCTCGCGGTACTGCAGACTAGACCAGACTAAATTCACGTGGGCCACCCAGAAATTTTTCCCATAGAACTCAATGCAAATTAAAACAGCTCAACCTCAGCTGACAGAGAACCTACAGCTTTCATTAATTTCGGATTTTGTGGGGATTTTAGTGCCCCTTGTCATCCTGAACTTTTTTTCTTTTTAAATCAATAGGTTTTCTTTTAATCTTCACTTTAGTGCAACAAACTCTGCTCTCTTTTTCCCGCTCTTCCGCCGCTCTAGCATCCGCAGCTCGCTGATTGGTCAAGACGTTGCCAAGCCCCTCTGCTCGCGTGCATGAGAACCATACGAGCGTGCGTTCCTCGCGTGAACGCGCTCCATTCGGCTCTGTTGATGACAGAGGAGCGAGGGAGGAAACTGAACCGAACTGACCAGATAAACACGAAATGTACATTGACAGCATTGTTGTGGTTATTGTTAGCTTCATTAAGAGTCTATGTATGGTCTTTCCTACAGCGTTTGGAGTCGTGTGAATTCGTATGACAGTCATTTATACCAATATGAGTACAATAAACATAGCTATTGACTTTACAGCGTCCATATCAAAACCGAACTCAAACGTGATGATTACACAAGAGCTGGCGAGAGAGTTTAGGTATTCACCATGAATGTTGTAACCCTGCCAGTCAAAGGCAGCACAGACACACACATTTTAAGTAAATGCATTCATGTTTTGCTGTAATACATGTGGCAAGTGCTAATGCAGATTAGGATTCACATTGTAATTTAAAATAAATAAATTTTGTTGCTTAGTTCGATCGCCCTTCAGTTTTCTACTCATGGTCATTGTAAATCAAAAATGTACAAATCTCATAAATCGAAACATATTTAAATGTATTGAATAAATGTTTCTATTTACAACAAAATAACAGAAGTAGGAGTCACTAGCATTCATGTGGTGACAATAATATTATTCTATATGTTCAAGTTAGATTGTCTGTCATTCTCTTAAAATGTGTTGTACATAACTCTTGCATGGCTCTAAATACAGTTCATTTGCTGTGAAAAAAATGACGGTTTTAGTTTTTATACATACTTGAATATCCTATTATAGACAGCTGAAACAAATACGTGGCTTAACTAGTTTTGTTTTATTTAGCCAGAAAAGTCCCATTGAGATAAAGAACCCCTTTTTCAAGGGAGTCCTGAATATATACTCTACCGTTCAAAAGTTTGGGGTCACATTGAAATGTCCTCAATGTTGAAGGAAAAGCTGTAGATAACTTTAAACTAGTCTTAACTGTAAAGAAATACACTCTGTACACTGCTTATGTGGTAAATGACTGCTGTTCTAGCTGCAAATGTCTGGTTTTTGGTGCAATGTTGTAATTGCTGCAAATGGAGGATTCTTTGACAAAAGCAAAGTTGGATGTAAAACAAATCTTATTTCTAATACAAATCATTATTTCTAACGTTGTCAATGTCTTGACTCTATTTTCTATTCATTTCACAACGTATGGTGGTGAACAAGTGTGACTTTTCATGGAAAACACACACACACATATATATATATATACATACATAATGTGTGTGTGTATATAGAGAATAATACTTATTAATTACGTTAATATAATAATTACAATTCACGAGGACAAAAGACTAAATCATAGCTTTTTGATCTATCCACAATGGTCTTAATTATCTTGCAGTACTTGTTAACACATCACTGACATTTTGCTTAAAACACGGCGGCCTACAGGTGAATGCCACAGTATAAGCGTTACGAAAAAGTATATAATCATTGTACATTTAGCTTATCATAAATACTTAGTAGATAATGATTAAGAATCAACAACAAGAAGGCTCTGTCATACTGCTCTACACCATCTTAAAATAATTGATCAATTGTACATATATTTTAATATCAATCTTTACTTAAACAGTGATAGAACTTCATTCGCTCGATTCATGCGCGTTCACGAGTCTGTGGTGCTGCACGCTCCCGCTTGAGGTCCGCGTTCTCGTCGTTCGAGGCACAAAGCATTATGGGAGGTCATCCACTGCGCATAACCGGGAGGACCAGAGGATGCCCAAATACAGGCGATTTTCCCATAGATCTTTGCGAGTTTCAGGCAACTTCCGCTAATCTTTCAGCCCCCATGCTGTCACAAAGCGCCACTGAGCACAACCATTCATTTGAATAGGGCGCCATCTTGAATCGCCGGGGCTTGGCATGGATGTATAAGGAGGAGGGGGGGGGGGGGGGGTCTGGAGGAGGAGGAGGGGGGTGGTGGGGGCCGAGAAGCCTCAGATGTAAACAGTCACGCCCCCCTCGGGGAGCACTGAACAACATGGCGTAGGAAGTCCGTCAACAAACTGGTGCCGTATCTGTTCGGGTGCAGACCATCTGGACGATAGGCCACGTGACGCTTCCAGAACAGGCCAAAGTTGTTCACAAAAATAAAGTTAAAAGTGCTGCATGTAGACTGGAGCCACATGTTGAGCGCCACAACGCGACTGTAGAGGCAGTCACCCCGGTTTACAGTCGGGACTGGACCAGAAATAAAAACGGATAACCCGGAGGACTGGAGGAGGCGGAACAGATCCATAAAGTGCTTCTTTGTGACCTCTGACTGCTGCAGCTTCATATCATTTATACCCACATGCACGATTACCTTGGATATGGTATCGGGCAGGGAGTGAAGCAGAGGAGGGAGACGAATGAGCAGATCTGGGACAGTAGCTCCGGTAATGCAGTGAGTGACCGCGTTAAAAAAGCGGACGTGCCTCACGATGGAATCTCCAACAATCAGAGTAGTCGGGGCGAAGAGTGGACGCGGCCGCGGAGAGGGCGCTCGGTGTCCATGGCCAGAACCAGCGGGCTCATAAAAAGATAACTTTGCATTAAAATCCATGTAACTATTTCATCTTCAACACAGTTTGGATCAGTTATTGCATTTTAGCTTTTTCAGACCTAAAATGCAACAAAATAAGATCACCATCACATAGTGATTTCTTATAGTTCTTTAAATAGAGGAAGACAGCGTATTGTAGTGTGATTTGTATGTACAAAAACAAGTAAATATTTATGAGAAATCAAGTTAAGTACCCTGGCATGAAGTGGGGCCATTTATTCAAGTGTGGATGCAAAAATAGTTCTTTTTGGATCTGTGTCTTGTATCAGTGCATTGTTCTCTTGCTGGAGTCACTGTCCTCTTGTGCCCCTCCTCTTTCAGTCTTTATCACATTGAAGCTCCTCTAAAGTGGTCCAGTCCCAGCGCTGGTTTCCTGTCCCAACAACACACTTATAACAAATCTTTGTGTGTCAGCTCCAGGAATTCTCGGTGAATCTCTCCTGCACCTCTCCTGCACCTATGTGCAATCAGATTCAGATTCAGATTCATTTATTTGCCATTTGCAGTAAAACCACATTGGAAAAACTGTGCAAGACTACCCCAGTGTGCACCAGGCTCCACAAATTTATATTGATAAAGTTATTAAAGATCAAACCCCAAAAGAAGTCAGGTTATCACGTGCTTTCAAATTGGAATGGGCATGACCAGATGCCCGTAGCCTCAAAAAATAAATCAAAAATATTTCAGAGCAGACCGATAGAACGAAACCAAAGGGATGTATTCACTCCCCCCCACCTGTTTTTTGTGAATGCGGGCACCTGTCTCAGTTGTTATTGAGTCTGATTTTCTAAAACACCTACAATGGCTGACCAGAAAACTCTGAAAATTTCACGTTTGCCACCCATTTGCCCTGTTGTGGCAAGTAAAAAAATCAGATGAGGAAAATGCATTGTATAATAAGATTCGGGACGCAGCCAGGGCTATGTGATGCAACGGCAGTCGAGTTTGCTAATTGCTAGTTTGGAATCTAGCGCTTGTCAAGTAAATCGCAGACTTGAGCCCTAATGCAGTATGATGCTTTCACATTTCAAGCTGGTTTTCAGTCGGTGCGACTCGGATGTTACTGCTAAGCTAACATGAATCCTTTACTACACCCTTAATGAAAATATTTGGGTGCGTTGTCCATATGAGGGAAAACTTTAAGCTCCTGTTGAAGTTGTCGGAGCTAGAGAATATGACTGGTTTCTTGAAGATTTCTTTCTTCTGAAATCATAAACAAAAATGACAAAATGTAAAGAGCATAATTTAGAATGTGTGCATTATTTTTGTATGAGTATGAGTTTTAAAGAACTCACCACAATTCTGTATTCAAAATAAAAAATAAAAAAGGCTTGCTCACCTTTTCAATAAAATGGCAATAATTGCAATAGTTGCCAGCAACACGGCAATGGTCACTCCAATAAGCACCATCCTGCCTCCTGAGCCTGCAGGACAAACACAATAGAGAAGATGAGAAAGAGTCAATCAACTGCTTTGATCATGTAAATTTTTAACCAAGCTATTTACTCAAATAAAGTTACACACAAGGGCATTTGAAATGTGACCTCACAAGAATTCACTCCAAGAATTCTCAGAACTAAGTGGAAGGTTGCAAAGAGATTGATTCCAGAACACATCTGCTATCCATTTACGTTAATCACTTAGGACAGTAGGAGACATGGAACCTTCTGTGTATGAGGACATAAAGGACAGAAACACTAATGAAGCTAAAGCAGAGGTCCATACTGGAAGACTCTCCATGTGCACAAGCTCACTGCTCTCAGTCCTCCCACTGCTGAAGCGCTGCAGCACTCAGTCAATCTATTCTGCCTATTCTCACCTGGCAGCATTTAGGCACCACCCTGCATTGAATATTCATATTGGGTAACAACCTCATTAGCCAGACCAGCTTCAATCCTTTTCTTTAACTATACCAGCACCATCGTCAAGGCTATATTTTCATTTCCCCTTCTGCATTTGTCATGCCATGCTCTGCTGGGATCTAAGGGCCAGTACAGAATGCAAAAATATCATTCTTGCATGTCTTCAGAGTCTGTGCTAATTTATGCAATAACGGATAACTATGCCAATCAATAAGTACAATTCTAATAAACCCTTTATCAGTTGTGTCTCTCCAGATTGACTTTTGAAGTAAATAATGAGAAAAGAGAGCTCTCAATACATACGTGCTAATGGACATATAATCATAGGAAAACGATAGTCTGGACTGCATACATTATATACTCATACCTGAGGAGCTCCTGTCAGTGGGGCTCTTCTGTGACCCGTGTGGGTTTTGGGCCACGCAGCAGTGCACTTGACTGGGCTCAAAGTTGACGCTGATCCTGCCGATAGAAAGTCCTTCTGCATTCACTGAGCCGGAGGACTGCAGAGACTTGTACAAACTAGTGTCCGCTCCGGAATCACACGCTGCATCTGTGAACCAGTAGTAGGTCCGCACAGGGGGGGAAGCCTCACTGCTGCAGGTCAGATTTACTGAATGTCCCGCTGTAGTGCTCTCTGGGGCCAACCCAGTAATGGCAGTGTTTCGTGGAGGATCTACAATAATGACAACACATTGAATAGTAAATAAGCATATGAAATGTTGTACCTAACCTAACCTACCCATAACCAAGCAAACTATGTAAAAAATACCCTAACACATGATGGTTCTGTTGTGGCCTCTGTCACAGCTTTAGATCGACCTTTACAGGGAGGAAGTAAAAATGAGAGGACCATCATAATAATAATACATCGGTTTTATATAGCGCTTTTTTGGACACTCAAAGACGCTTTTACATGTCATTATTCTTTCACTCCAAACACGGTGGTGATAAGCTACTGTAGCCACAGCTGCCCTGGGGCACACTGACAGAAGCGAGGCAACCAGTATGTGCCATTGGCTCCTCCGACCACCACCAACCATTCTCACACACACCAGACTCATTCTAGGCAATGGGAGTGAAGTGTCTTGCCTAAGGACACAACGGCAGTTTGGCACTTTACAGCCGCAACCACCCCACTGTGGCTGGTGTTCCCAGAGGCTAAGTGTTTTGCCAAGGACACAACGACAGCAGACAGTGGGAGTCGAGGGTGAAAGTCGAGGGTGAAAGTCGGACTCGAACCCACGACCCTCTGGCTCAAAGGCCAATGCTCTACCAAATGTCAGATCTCTTTCTAACAAGTCTTTTTTAATCAATAATTTTATTTGTTCTTATAATCTTGATCTTATGTTCATGGCTGAAACATGGCTTGACCAAAATACAGAAAATGCAGTTTTAATAGAAGCATCACCACCAAATTTCAAATTTGAATCTGAAATACGGGAAAACAAAAAAGGAGGAGGCTTAGCTGCCATTTTTAGAGACCACTTTGTCTCCCATAGAATGTCTCTTGGGAAGTTTCCGTCTTTTGAATATGTGTCTTTTTAAAATACAACAAAAACAATCTCCTCCAATACTCTTCATAGTCCTATACAAGCCACCGCAGTCATGTCACAGTTTTATTGATAATTTTACCGAGTTGCTTTCAGTTGTATGCACAGATTTTGATAGTTTAGTTATTACAGGTGATTTTAATATTCATGTGGATAATGTTGATGACAGAAATGCAAAAGAGCTGAGTTCTTTACTTGATACCTTTGGTCTCACTCAGCATGTGAGTGGCCCCACCCACAGCAGAGGGCACACTCTAGACCTGTTAGTTACAAAGGGGGTGAATATTTCAAATATAAGCGTGGTCGATGTTGCTCTTTCAGATCATTTCTGTGTATTTTTTGACATGTGTTTCACTAACAAACCACCAGTGGACTCTGCAACTGTTCGAAGAAGACACATAAATGAAAATACAAGTGAACTATTTATGGGAATGATAAACTTTGAAAATGCATCGTATTCTACTGTAGATGAACTGTTTAACTCTGTCACCTCTAGTGTTTTGAATGTTCTGGATACCGTTGCCCCTGTGAAGGTTAAAATAGTGAAAAATAAGCAGAAGGCGCCGTGGGCTAAAGCAGACTCGGTCAGGGCACAAAAGAGAAAGTGCCGGAGGGCCGAGCGGAAGTGGCGCAAGTCCAACCTCCAGGTTGATTACAAGATCTTCAAAGATAAGTTGTGCGAGTTTAACCGGGTGCTACGTAGTACGAGAGAAAAGTATTTTTCTGAAATGATTGAAGGCTGCAGTAACAATCTGCGTGTTCTGTTTTCAACAGTTAATAGATTAACAAACCCCCCTGTTCAGATGCCATTAGAGCTAACTTCCAAACGTAAATGCAATGAGTTTGCACACTTTTTCAATGACAAGGTTCAAGGCATCAAAAACGCCATTGTCTCCAATCCACAGATAACCATCCAACAGCCAGAAAGGCTCTCTGAGCTAACTTACTTTGCACCTGTAGATGATAAAAATGTCCAAGAAATAATCTCCAGTTTGAGCTCCTCCACATGCAGCCTGGATGTACTACCCACTAGATTTCTGAAGTCTGTTCTGAGCAGTCTGTTACCGTCACTCACACAGATAGTAAACATGTCCCTTCATTCTGGAATATTCCCAAAGGCCCTGAAAACTGCAGTCATCAGGCCCCTGCTAAAAAAGAGCAGCCTGGATGCTACGGTACTTAACAACTATCGTCCCATCTCAAATCTGCCATTTATGGGGAAAGTCCTTGAAAAAGTTGTCTACCTACAGCTTACTAGATTTCTTATAATTAACAACTCATTTGATATGTTTCAGTCCGGCTTTAGACCCCACCACAGCACTGAGACTGCTCTTGTCAAGGTTACAAACGATATCCGGCTGAACACTGACGCAGGCAAAGTCTCAATCTTAATCTTGTTAGATCTGAGTGCTGCCTTTGACACCGTCGACCATGAGATCCTCTTACAGAGATTAGAGGACTGGGTTGGAGTCGCTGGCACCGCCCTAAGTTGGTTTAGGTCTTACCTTGAAGACAGGAAGTACTTTGTGGAGATTGGAGACTGTGTCTCAGATCATATGGCCCTGACCTGTGGAGTACCACAGGGGTCGATCCTGGGACCTCTTCTGTTCAATCTCTACATGCTGCCGTTAGGTCAGTTAATACGCAGAAACAAAGTGTCCTATCACAACTATGCAGACGACACTCAGATCTATGTCTCACTGACTGCAGGAGAACATGGACCAGTGGACTCACTCCTTCACTGTATCCAACAGATCAGTGAGTGGATGCAAAACAACTTCCTTCAGCTAAACGCAGACAAAACTGAAATGATTGTCTTTGGTCCCCAGAAACAAAGAGAGAGCGTCATCTGTCACCTACAGTCTCTCTCCCTAAAACCTTCAAACAAGGTCAGAAATCTAGGGGTAATACTGGACTCAGACTTAAATTTTAATAGCCACATCAAATCAGTAACATCAGCAGCTTTTTACCATCTAAAAAACATTGCCAGGATCAAAAACATAGTGTCTAAAGCAGACTTGGAGATTATTATCCATGCATTTGTCTCCAGTAGGTTAGACTACTGCAATGGCCTGCTCACAGGTCTGTCCAAACAGGCTGTAAAACAGCTGCAGTACATTCAAAATGCAGCAGCTCGAGTCCTGACTAGAACCAGGAAGTACGACCACATTAGTCCGGTCCTCAGGTCCCTGCACTGGCTTCCTGTGGCTCAGAGAATAGACTTTAAAACAGCTCTGCTTGTGTACAAATCTCTCCATGGCCTCGCACCAAACTATATTAGTGACATGTTAGTACCATATGAACCAGCCCGGACTCTGAGGAGCACAGGGACTGGACTCCTGTTAGTGCCCAGAGTCCGAACTAAACAAGGGGAGGCTGCTTTTCAGATTCATGCTGCTAAAATCTGGAACAGTCTTCCTGAAGATGTGAGACAGGCCTCCTCTCTGACAATGTTTAAGACAAGGTTGAAAACAGTTCTGTTTAGCTGTGCATACAACTGAGGGATTTTATATTTTTATCTTTTTTTTAATGTACTGTGATTATTTATGATTTTAATGCTTTCTTGTTCTGTTCAGCACTTTGAATTGCCTTGTGTATGAATTGTGCTATATAAATAAACTTGCCTTGCCTTGCCTTACCAACTGAGCTACTGTCATCACTCAACCATCTTGTTCTTAGATGGCAGAATATGCAAAAGATAACATATTTCCTAATAAGTTAAAGACAGCATGTTGTGGCCTGTCTCACAAAATGTTACAACTTTAACCTCAGCTTTAAGACATGTATTATCCATCATCCTCCTTAAGGCTGGAAGTCTTACTTTCAACCACATACATATTTACACACTAAGGTAATATTTTACAGAGTAACCTACATTAAAAACATGACCAGATTTGGAGTTAAATTAAAAAGCAAATTTAAAAAAAATGGTTGTTATATTTTTGTTTATTATACTGCCCTCAATGAGAGAAAATTCTTAAACTATATTAGGTTCTTTCAAGTTTCAAATGATAAGACAGAATGAATGATTATTTTAGTCAAAGTATACAGTAATTTCTCACTCACACTGTACATCAAGAACCAGCTCTTTGGACTTTTGAACTTGATCTTTGGTCTGGACTTGACAGTAGTATCTTCCGGTGTCCTCTTTAGAAGTTTTACGGATTGTCCACTCAGATCCACTGTGTATTGGTTCCACACTGGAGGTCTTGAACCAGAGCAGCTCTTCAGACGGTTGAGCACTGCAACAGGTCAGCGTGACAGACTGACCCTCCATTATAACAGAGGAGCGATCGACTAACATTGAAATGAACGATGGAGAATCTGGAAAAAAACAAATTCTCAGACATGGTTGTAATGTAGTGAGCAACAACAGATTGAGACATGAGAAAAAACAATGCTTTTCCACATAATTACATCACATAGACCGGTACATAGTGTGCAGTGGTTTTGCAATGCCACAAATTGACTAGAAGATCCCACTACACAAAACAAAAACAAAGTCAAATTGGTTCTGCTGTGTTTACTGTGGATCGACTACTATAATAAAATTACACTTGCTCTTGTTGGGTCCTGGCTTCAAACAGACTTAATGTTGCCCTTGTTCCAGTCACTGTTGGTCTCAGTCTGTGTTTTGGCTGCAGTACCTAATTTTCATAAAACTAGTTCCGAGTTGTCAAACAGATTGGCTCTATCACTACTTTTTCACATGCACGCACATCATTGGATCAGCTGTTTCAGACAGAAAAATAAAAAAAATGTGACTCTATGGCTCTGTGTTACAAGTATGAAACTTTTTTTTTTTTTTATCAATCTTTTAGTTGAGATAAACAACATATTAAAGACATGGTTTTCTTGTACAATCCAGATTCACACCTTCTGGTTTCATTATTCTGTAATTCAAATTCAGTTCCTGTTTTAGTCTTGGTCAAGTCGCAATTTAGATTTGAGGGACTCTTTTGAAGGATCTTTCTTTGTGTGGAAAGTATAAAGATCTTGAGCTCACCTAACACATGTAGTGTGACGCCTCTCTGCGCCGGCATCTTCTCTGTGGTGTGGGTGGTAATGAGGTAGAAAACATAAGTGCCACTGTCTGATCCTTGCAGACTTGAAATCTTTAAAGAACAATTCTTTGATCCCAGTTTTCCCAAATATTCCACTCTGTTTTGGAACAATGACTCAATAAGGATGTTTGCACTGTGATAAACATATCTGAAAAAGAGAAGACCTTAATTAAAACTTAGAATATTTGAATTTATAATGTATTTCTTGAGGTTTATGATGAAATATCTGCCGACTTGGATACAAATTCAACTAACCTTGGTGTGATACAGCGTCCATCCCCTAAACACCACATTTCAGACCTAGCCTCGAACTGTTGACCATTTTTGCTTTCAGGAAAGTTGTAAGAACAAGGGAGAACCACTGAAGAGCCAACCCCAGCGCAGATATGTACGGGGACGTCCACCGACCAATCACCAGCAAGGGTGCCTCACGTAAGATAATTAAAGTCATAAATTGCACTGGATTGGGCGTATATTGCAAGTCTCATTTGAAATACATCAGTAAGAATGGCTACTTTATGAATTCGATTGGACGGTGACTTACCAGTGAAAAAGAAGACGTGAGCAATCCAAAATATTTGAGTGACGTGCGTCTCCATCCTGCGACTCTCCTCCGCTGCTTTCTAATGCAGACACTCGTTCTTGTATTTTGATTGTATTGGCTTTCCTCCTGCAGACAAAAAGTGTCAACACAACTTCCCCTTACCTAAAAGGAACTTCAAAAAGGAACTGATTCTACACTTAAAAAAACGATGAAATGTGGTGATAATTTTACACCTCTGTTTAACCACATGTTTGGTTGTGTTGTCATATATTTAAAATGGCTTCCGTTTTAAAACTTAGTGTGAGTTGACTGTTTGAATAAAGGTGAGGGCAAAACAGTTTTTACATAATCCACTTTAGTCAATAGGGTGTATTACTTAATTAATACACTTTGTGGTATTTTGATTTTGATGTTCACATTTATTGGCAGACATGTGAGTGAATTACTTATTTGTCTACGTGCAGGCCTTATAAACTGTGATATACAGTGGAAAAAAGTTGTATCACGTGTCACTAAAAATGGAAAGTAGGCCTCTATCTGAGCGTCTGTACTGTTTGCATTGTTATTGTTGACTTGGCGCTTTGCATCTATGGGCCCTGAACAACGATCAAAACCATCACGCGTGGATCAGCATCAGTAGTCTGTGAGGGGGACGGGGCTCTTGTACCTGGGCAGGTGGTCAGGGACATTTGAGAGTGCGCGCCCCTGTCCCTCTTGTGTCCAAGTGTGACGTCAGCCGTGCCACTCCAGTGCGCGCTGCCCTACGCTCCTAAAGGCGCTGCTGCTACTGGAATGACTTCGAAAACAAGGAGAGGAACGGGCCTCAACAACGCACATCTCCTCAAATGCCACTCTCATTTCTGTTAGAGAAGAATGGCGATGGGTTTGGTTAGAGTAAAGGCCTTCATTTGTGGCTAAAACGCATTTTTTCATCTGTTCTCGCTTTGGGGTCACTAACCTGCGAACGGGACAAAAGAAGGATTTACGCAACGTGTGATTTATTGAATGTTGATTTTTAAATGTTGATCACTTTTTAAGACATTTTACACCCAAAACGCACCACACACAAGACTTCTGAGTCTGAGCAGAGCGACTTCACCTGTTCTTGGAAGCTCAGGTGAGTTTACCCTGCTGCCTTTTTACCACGTAGTTAATCTTGTTCATTTAAACATATGACAAATATTGAAACATGTTGCTATGTAATATTGAATGAACAAGGAGAAATATGGGAAGAAAACAGCCAATGACCAACTATAGTTTCAATAGTTTACTGCTTTAATTGTCTAGTTATTTCAACAATCAAGCTATTCTAGATGATTGTTATGACATGCTGTTTACAGTAGACTGGAAGTACATGTGCGTGTGAGCTATGGCACTGTATAAAGAGATTAGAAATGATTAGGCAGGTTTTTTAAAACACACATTAGGTTGTAGGCAACATTTGATTCTAACATAATGCACTGAATTCACCGTTATGTAATATTTGCTGTTCAACTTAAGCTCTTTTCTTTGATCAGGTTGATACAGGATATATATATTTTATACTAGAGTATTTCCTGGAGGAGTTACACCCTGGGTCCCTAAGATGTATGCAGAGAAAGTGGTGACCGAGGGGAAGATGGGTGAGTGTGACTCCCACACGTTCCACATGCTTCACTTCAGACACCTGTATACAAAGACACCCATGCTGCACCTCATGTGGACTGTCTGTTTGCCAGACATCAGTCCACTAAACTGTTAACCATTAACTGTTTGTGTAAAGCCCACAAAGTTGCATTATTGTCATTCAAACATATTTCAATTTGACTTTTGAAAAGCATTTACAGTATTATTTTGCCATATAGTTGCAAGTGGTCAAGTAATTGTATTTATTGTATTGGTCTGGGACAGAGCTTGTGCTAACGTTTATTGTGTTGTGATTCTCTGTCTAAAGTAGTATTCAACACGATCCTTATATTATATTTCTCTAATTGCAATCAAGATGTTGTTAGACAGTTAAATAGAAACAGGTCCATTAACTTCCTGTGCAGAGTGACAGAACAGAATACTATAGCATTTTATAATCCATTCTCAAAAGTACAGGGCAGTAAACAGGTGTAAGTGTAAACACATGCAGATGAGACACATGAGAACATGAAAATAACAAGTTGCAAAATGATTAGGTAAAGTTGCCATAACATAGACAAATGTCTTATTAGGTCTCCTAAAAATATGGTTGTAAATGAAAGCTAATACAGCAAACTTAGGATCAAATAGGCAGAAGTAACTACAATAAACTGTGACTTGAAAAGAGTGAGACTTGTTTTTCATCCCTCTCATAAGGTTCCAAAAATATTTTACTCTTCTGTTCTTTCTTTATATTTTCAACAGTGATAAGATACACAATGATAAATACATCAAAAAGCTGCTATCTTACAACCCACACAAACATAACAATAAACATTTGAAATATCTTACCCTAAAAGATGCAGGGGCTAATGAGATCTCAAAGTGTTCTTCATGAGGTCCACAGCAGTTTGCTCTTTTCATCAGTTACTTGTTGAATTTGTCCTTGAGTGTGAGTCCAAACGCTGTGATTCAGAGTGCTGTCCTCCCCTGGTCTTAAGTTCTTATGATATGTTGTGGACCACGCCTGCACGTTAGGCGGGATACCTTCTAATTGGGGACTGTTTACGCTACACTGGATGCAAGAGTAAGCATGTACATTGTATGGAGACGGTTTGGAAGTCTGCAGACTAATATTTATGACTTGAAGTTGTTTATTTCTTTTCATTTCCATGGTAACATGTGAGTCAGGCTCGTGCTGTCTCTGCTGTTCTCACACGAGACCACACCTCAGTCTGCCCTCAAGACGTGGCACAGCTGCTATTTTTAACCACTATACATTCAGTGTGTTTTGTATAATTTATGTTTTCTTGTATAATTTCTTAGTGTAAGCATGCTGGCATCTGCACAAGCCTGATTTATATTCATCCTGAAAGAAGGCAACAGATACAGATACAAACACATTATCGCATAAAAGTTTTATTTTAACAAGAACGTTTCAATATGTTCCTGGATTTGGCTCCATTTTGTCTTACAATTGAAAAAATATAACCATGAATCTCTGAGACACGTGAAATAAATACAGCTGTATTCCATATGTACTTTCAGTCCAATAACGCTCATGGGATGAATCTACTACTTTGGGCTACTTTGAAATCCATAAAAATAGTTTGCCTAAAGTGTGAAAGGTGCTAAAAATACAGCTTCAGCAACTTGTTTGTGAGATTACACAAGCAGATGCCATTTGAATTTGTAATGATTTCTGTCTCGGACTTGACCAGAACAAAGGCACCCCCAGGAAGTTGTCAAGTCCTGAATGTGTGTAATAATAGTTTATGGATGTGTAAACAGCAGTATTTTGTCCTCTATCACAACGGTGTATACGGTACAACATAAGGTGCCTTAAAGTTGTATTTGTCACCCGCCTGATGCCTATGGTTTAGAATGTGGTATGTTGTGGCGGTAGAGCTTGGACAAAGAAACTCACAGTAACATGGTCTCAGGTAGAAGGAGAAACAAAAGCCCATTTGTTCTGGTCCGACATGTGAAAAAAACTATGTTAGGAGATCATGGATAGTTCAGGAAGTGAGAAGAATGTAATCATCAACTATAAGTATATAAAAGTAACATATCTTTTTTGTTTGTGTATGTGCATGTGTGTGTGTGTGTGTGGGTAATGGATGCGTGTGTGCGTGGGATTTCCTCATCATTGCTATGTGACCATTCAGACATTCACAGCAGCATAATCCTTCAACATGATAATTTGTTGAATAGATGTTTGAAATGGAAGAAGTCATGGTGAGATTCGAGATATTAGGAGAGCTGAGTACAACAGAAAACTTCAGAACGGATAAAGTTAGATCTTCTTTGCTCCCTCCATTTCTCAGCTATAATAGGCCTATAGAGTTTCAGCCAAAACCACATAAACAGGAAGAAGGCTCATGTCTTCATATAGTTAGCAAACATTTTATTGTCAAAGTAAGCTTTCTTTACAACTGCACAAGATTTATTTCAACATGTTATAGATTGTCATAGGCCTAATATTTTGAAGTAAGTTTTATGGCTAATGGCGTTCTTATTTTGGAAATAGGAAATTAAAAAAAGAAATGTATGGGTGTCGGCTATGTATACAGTAATTTGATCTGTGTTGCAATAATCTGTGTTGCTCAAATATGTGCTGATATATGTATAGTATATTAAACTTCAGCAAGATCCAGTTTGCCCCAAGCATAGTAGGTTGTAAAATAAAGTATTTTCCGATGAATGTAAATATTACTGCATGCTCTGTCACAGCTGACTAGTGTGGAATGGGTGGTGCTAAAATGAATCATGCGGCTATTATCAAAACTAAACATGTGCTCAAAAACTGTTTTCTTTGTGACAGTTTGACCTGAACTCAGAATAGGGACAGCTGAGCTCGCTTCCCTCTGCATGTGCTCTATCAGCAACAGTGAGGTTAATGTTTGTCATCTGTTCATGCTGAAGAATTATTACCGCTTTTCAGAAGTTTACATAGTTATAGTGCAGCATGGTTTTTATTGGGGCGGCCTTAATAAACAGGAAAATGTTGTACGATTGTTTCTATAAGCTGTTGATGTATCAAGTATATAATTTCATTTTGGTAAAACACAAAACATATATTGTTATTCTGTGTAAGAATATTCAAAATGGTTGCGCTAATTAAAACACAGGATAAATTTGTTGGAGGTCAGTTTGACGGCCTCCTGTCTAAGATCAAAGGAAAGTGCTGTGTGCGTGTTGCACTGACATGGCACCACATCTCATTTGGAGAGTTTGTACTGGCTTTAAAATAGTCAGACTTTAGACTATTGATCCAGTACTTTCTGGTCTGTGTCATGAATTGTGCAGTTATGCCAATGAATCTGCAGATAGCTGTTTGCACAGTTAAATTGTTCATATGAATATTTTTTGAAAAATATGTTTTTGTGCATCACATTATTTTGTACATACAGACTGTGAATACTGTACATATTAGGAGGTGACCATTTATGTCTAGATGATAGCAATACGGTCATGGCCATGCTTTGGGAATACCATGTGCAGTTTGTGTATACTTCATATACACAAACTACACATGGTATGATTCTGTAAATTGTGAATAGATCAGATTTTTCCTCACTTCTTCCATTATTCTCCAGGGCAACAATAGTAGTTTTCCACCAATGTGTGTGAGGTAAATGTATAGCGCCATACAATATAATTTTTATTTTCAATACAGTCAATGAATATTTATCGGCAACCAACCATAATTTTATTTTTAAATTTCCCTCAAAAATGTAGAAATATTATTATTTTCAAATTCCATACACAGTATTATTATAACCCTATTCCCAGTTTTTCCCTTTCAACTCAATTTTCATATATTTGTGTTGTGAATACTATTTGTTGTTGTTTGTTTTCCTGTTTATGTATCGTAAACAATGTCACCAAAGATGAACTCTGTGTTTCTGTGCTGCAGGGAGCAGGGCCATCTCTCTAACGTGTGTGCTGACGCCGTGTCGCGTTGCTGGACTGTGTGTGATCATCATGACCCTGGGGGCCATTGGGGCGGCTGTCTGGGCCGTAGGTCAGAGGACACCTCTTTTCAATCCAAAAAAATAATGCAAATTCTACAAACATTCTTTGAACCATTTAAACATGCTTGTTTTTCTTTTTCAGTTTCATATTGTACATTGGAGGAAGATGCAGGATTTTATGATGGTAAGTGGTCAGTGTAACATAAAGCACACTTCCAAAAAACAGAAAATACAGTACAGTGCATTAAGTGATGAGTGGAGTATTTAATTTAAGAATTGTGCATACATTTTCTCCCCAAATGCTGAGAGTTTTGTAAACTTATTAAGCTACACTTTTTTGAGCAGAATGCTAGATAACTTCTAAGCTTAAAGTGCCTGGTTAGAACTGTGATGGGAGACCTCCGGGAACACCAGGTGCCACAGTGGAGCAGCCGTAAAGTCATGTTGGGTCCTTAGGCAAGATATAAATGTTGTGGTAGGGAAGGGAAGCAACTGCCTGGAATGCTGTTATGTTTATTAAATTGCAGTTCAGCAAATTTCAAATAATGTCAAATTTGTCACAGTCCAGGTAAATTCCCCTGACCAGCGTCTTAGAGTGTTTGATTTGGCCCAAAAAAGATGGCGACAAGTCTGCTCCTCTTCGGGCAATGAACTGCTGGCGAGTATCATCTGTGAGGAGGTCGGCTTTGTCAGGTGAGAAACTTTCGATTAAAACACGTATTCATAATTCAGATGGGGCAAGTGCACTAAAGACTGTCTGGAATTTCAGTGTGGTGAATTACTCCATCACATCTGTCCCAGAGGCCAGTGGAGACGGCGGAGAGTTTTTCTGTGTCCGATCAGATGAGCTTAGCTACGGCAAGAAAATCAAAGATTCACTTTTCCCATGGTAAAAAGCAAGAACAATTCTCAATTTAAATAATATTGCATTTTTAATGTATTCACTATTTTCTTGTAGTGGCTGTGAGAATAGAGAAGTCTTAAATGTCTTGTGCCAAGGTAAAGTAAATTTTCATTTGCTACTCTTACACACACACAATAGATTTATTGCAGGGTTTTTTACTCGTTACTGAGTGATATATTGATGATCGAGCATTATACTTTACATTATTAAACTGGAACGTCCCTCGTCATGAAAATACATCCTGGATCCCGATGGTGATCTTGATCAGGTCCAAAATATAATCGTTTGTTTCTTGTCCTTTGGCGGCCTAATGATCTATAAGTTTGAAGCAGGTTTGTAACTGTAGTGAATACTGTGTATGTTTTAGACTGTGGGAGGCGTAGTTTTGCAGCCGATCGCATCGTGGGGGGCTTAGACAGCAGACAGGGCAGCTGGCCCTGGCAGGTCAGTCTGCAGTACGATGGGGTTCACCAGTGCGGAGGCTCCATCATCTCTAACCGATGGATCGTCTCTGCTGCTCACTGCTTCCCCGAGTGAGTCCACTACAAACACAGCAATTAAAACAAAAATTAATTTAGACATCTATTTGATTCTCACTAAATTGTGATTTTCTGCCATTTAAACAGAATCGACAAACCTTTGCATTAGACTTCAGAGTAGCTCTCTATATTAACATGCATTTAAAGAACATACTATGATGCATTTTTCATAAGCGATTATGTTGTTGATAGGCGGTATCGCTTTGTCAACCGCTGGCGGGTTCTTTTGGGCTCCATCTACAATAAACCTGTGAACGCGAATGTGGCTGAAGTAAAGACCATTGTGTACCACAGCAGCTACCTGCCGTTTGTCGACTCCCACATTGATGACAACAGTCGAGATATCGCCGTTCTGGCTCTGAGTCAGCCCCTGACTTTCACTGGTATGAAACACAAACACAGACGTGTGCAGTTGTTGCTTTGACTGACGAAGAAACGTGACATACACTGGACACAGTTGTTGTTGATTAAGAGTTTTACATTTCCAGATTCCCGAACAAAAGGTAACAGGACAGAAGCTCTTTATGCCAAACAATAGTATCAAGATTGGACAGGATGCTTCACTGTATTCATGCTGTCTGTCTTGAATTACAAAACATTCTTTATTATGACCATATTATTGTAATCTACCATCTTTTGAAAAAGCTGATGATGCCCTGGACAATATACGACCAGTCCCATTTTACACAACAATTAAACGATAGGGTCTAATTTTGGTTCCTGTCCCTTGGGGCCTGGACAACTGTCCTGGATGTTCTAATGATTGTAATCATTGGTTCTCAGGTGTCCACCATGACATTTCCGTCTTAAAAGAGGTCTGTCCTAAAATGACTTGTGCAGCTTCACATAAAAGTTGGTCCACAGTGACAGCTAGTGGTTGCAACTGCTTTATTCGTCATGGAAAGTGCTAATATCAGGCAAAATTTAAATCAATGTATATGAATGTGTTTGCAGAAAACATCCAGCCTGTATGTCTGCCAACATATGGTCAAAGACTAATAGACGGTCAAATGGGGACAGTCACAGGCTGGGGAAATGTGGGATACTATGGTAAGTCATCAAGCTCTATTCAGCACACAGTGCTTGAAATAAATCTATTACAATATTTTGAATGTATGAACTGTTGGCGTCACCCCCAGGTCATCTGGCAGACGTCCTACAGGAGGCCCATGTGCCCATCATCAGTGACGCTGTATGTAATGCTGCAGATTATTACGATAACCAGATCACCACCACCATGTTCTGCGCTGGCTTTGAGAAAGGAGGCACTGATGCTTGCCAGGTAAGTGTCCTGAAGATCCAACATGCTCGTTATGGTTTGGACTTATCTTCATATCTGCTTTTAGGGAGACAGTGGTGGTCCTTTTGTGGCAGAAGACTGCCTCTCACAGACAAGTCGCTATCGTCTGCTGGGGGTGGTAAGCTGGGGGACTGGTTGTGCAATGCCTAAAAAACCTGGTGTGTACACCAGAGTATCCCGCTTTCTTCCTTGGATATCCACTGCTATGAGGGTGAGGAAACGGTTTTATTTATGAATTAATATCCCAATTCTCATATAAAAACTGCAAACCTATGTTTCTATTTTTCAGAATTACCATAACTCTCCAGGAGTTCACAAAATGGCCAGGACTGAATATCCAAAACCAAACTTGGTTTAAAAAGAACTCCTTAAACTCCTGATTAACTCTTGATCCTTGCTGCAGCAAAGACAGAAGGCACAGTGAAATACAATCAACCAAATGCTTTGTTGGTTCCAAAAGTGTCTTAAATCATGAACTGTGAAGGATTTTTTCAGGACTTAACGGTACACATTTGTGTGCCCCTTAAAGAAAGCCAGGATCATCCTAAATACACAGGCACTTTGAAACTCACTTACTTATTTATCCCTGTTCATCTCTCTGCTCATGTCATGTTTTATGTCCCTGAAAATTACAATGCTTGATTTCTGTGATGTTGTCAAAACAGTATTTTTTTGTAGTTTGTAAATATTAGTTTGTGCCTTGTCAATATAAAACAAATGTAAAAATAATCTAATCTATTATTTTCTATGCAACAATTCATACAATTCTATGACACAAATAACGTATCCTCTCTGGTTCAAAATTAAATGAATGTAAAACTCACAAAACTAAGCATATTATAAAATAAATGTGTTCTGTGTTGTCATTGTTTTTTTTATTACAGAATAACTATGACTTGATTAAATATATACACATAATATGCATGCTAATTTCAGCCTTATTTTCCTTTCGTTTTATATCGGTAAAGTCCTTTCCATTCAATGCCTTTGTATTGCAGCCCCTCCTCTGGACAAAAGTGTTAAAAGCTGCTCTATGAAGACACAATTCAGGCTTGTGTTTGTGCATTAAGAGGATCTAGCAACTGTAGCGTAGATCACAGAGTCCTCCATCTCTGGGGCTTTTGTTCTGTGAAGTAAGACGACGTGTCAGCATTAAAGTGAGGCGAGAAAAAGAAGTGTAAAAAGAAAAGTACCTACTGTTTGTGACTTGGCTTTTTAGGTTTGATTGTAACTGTTGAGTAAAAAACCTCCTCTGAAGAGGCCTGAGAAAAGATGGTAATTAATGGGTTGATGGAGCAGCCTGACGATAGAGTAAACAATGTGGTTTCTTACATCTGCTTTATCTTTGGGTGAGGTCTGAAACATGAGCGCATTGGCGTAAATGTGGTCCTGCATTTCAACAGCAGGGGAAGAACTACTGTCTCTTGTGGCCTGCTCCGGAGAGGATGAATAAGGCGGACAAACTTGCTTTAATTTATGTTACAAACTCCAGGTACTTAATTAAAGGGACGGTATGTAATATGCACTCTTAGTGGTCCAATAACGTTGCTACAATTGATATCAAACCTTTGTTGCCACAACCTTCCTGCCACATGTAGCTCTTAAGCACTGATCACTGATGCAATTAGATAGATAGATACTTTAGTGATCCCCGTCAGAGAAATTCAGGTGTCCAGTAGCAGCAAAAGTAGAAAATAAAAAATAAAATTGATAATTCGAAAAAGCTAACAATAGTAATAATCAGCAACAGCAGTAGAGGTTGAGTAGCCTCTGGGTGGAGCAGGACGTCCACCCAGAGGCACCCAGAATCGTCTTGATGGTGTTTAACTAGGAATGGTACAAACTGTGTGACCTAATGTTTTTGTAACTGCTTTTGAGACAAATGTGTAGTGCTATTTTTGTTGGTGAATTGTCCATTGTATTTTTACTTGTATTGCCACTATAAACTTTAGTTCAGAAAAAGTCCAACATCATATTTGAAATATGATTTGTACATGTATAAAATATGTACATAGATGCACATTAAAAATGAAAATATGACATACTGTTCCTTTATATGACGTTTATGTGCTTATAATATGACTTACTTTGTGATGGTTCCTTCTTCGTTTTCTCCTGTTAATCCAAAAGTCATTATGTCATTCACAAAGAAATTACACATTAACTGAAAGTGAATTTGACTCACCAGTACAACAGCAGTGCCAATATAAATGTGATTGAAAGGGAAACACTGATTCCTGCTAAGATGAAGGAATATGCGGTCGCTAGGAACACAAAAAAGCATTAAGGACATTCAGATGACAACATTTCATTTCTCAAGAGTTTTCGTAGTGTGTAATAGTTTGTGACATGGACAAAATGTAAAGAAAAAAGTTCACATTGATTTCCTAACCATAAACAAGTCAACATGGTCCAAATCACTTCCTTTGAATTCAGAATAATGCTTAAAATGGCATCTATACTGACAGATCACAGACTGAAATGAAGTTTCAATGATCTCAAAAGTACAATTATTGCACACAAAATGTACTTCTAAATGGCTATACATGGGTTCTCTACAACATTAAGATAAGATAGGATATTCCTTTATTCATCCCACAGTGGGGATATTATACTCGTTATGCTCTTTTATGTCATAAAAGAGCATGAATATATTTAGTGTGAAATCAGTTATTTCTAGCCAGTATTTAGAGCCCTCAAGGCCTCACAAAGATATTATTAGAGAAAATAATACGTGGTATTATACGTATAAAATAATACGCGGTCTACGTGAACGAGCAGTGGTGCATCCCGACGCACGTGCATGTGGTCCAGCGCACATGCACTCAGGACCTGGAGCTGCTCGCTGTGAGCATGAGACCCAGGTATCTGCCTCGGGAGTTTTCACACACCGTGGTTCTATGTGCCTACATCCCCCCGTCAGCAGACGCAGCCGCGGCATGTGAGGAGATGCACAAAACTGTGACCCAGATCCAGACCCGCAGTCCCCGCGCTCTGATTCTGATCAGCGGAGACTTTAACCACGCCTCCCTCTCCGCCACTCTCCCGACATTCAAACAGTATGTCACGTGCCCAACTCGTGGCAATAAGACTCTGGACCTACTGTATGTTAATGTGCGGGACGCATACGCCTCCTCCACCCTCCCCCCTCTCGGACGCTCTGATCACAGCCTGGTCCGTCTGTCTCCGGAATACACACCAGTGGTGAGAAGAAATCCAGCGCAGAAGAGGATTGTAAAAGTGTGGAGCGATGATGTGGATGAGATGCTGAGAGATTGTTTTCAAAACACTGATTGGGAAATGATCTGCAGCTCTCATGGTGAGGACATCGAGAGCCTGACACACTGCATTACAGACTATATTCTCTTCTGTGTGGATAACACTGTACCAACTAAGAAGGTGCGGTGTTTTTCTAACAACCACCCATGGGTGACCCCTGAGCTTAAAGCCCTCCTGAACCTCAAGAAAAGGGCTTTCATCTCAGGGGACAGGGAGGAGCAGAAGAGGATCCAGCACGAGCTCCAGTGGAGGATCAGGAGGGCCAAGAAGGACTATGGGAAAAAGCTGGAGCAGAAGCTGGCCCAGGGAAACGCCCGCGACGTGTGGAGAGGCCTAAAGAACATCTCCGGCTTTGGACAGAGTGCCAGAGGAACAGCAGATGGAGACCAGCACCGGGCGGACGAATTTAACCAGCACTTCAACCGGTTTGATTCTCCCCCCTCTCCATCTGCCCCCCCTCCCGCCCCCACCTCTTCACACGTCCCCAGCCCAGTGGACACCGCCCAGTGGACACTGCCTCCGGCTGCCCCGGGCCCTCCTGCCCCCGCATCCCCAGCCCCCACCTCGGACAGTACATCCCAGCCCCCCCCCCCCTCTCCATCACACCGGACCAGGTGAGGAGTCAGCTCCAGCGCCTGAAGCTGAGGAAATCCGCAGGACCGGACGGGATCAGTCCCAGGCTGCTGAGGACTTGTGCAGACCAGCTCTCTGGGGTCCTCAGCTACATGTACAACCTGAGCCTCAGCCTGGAGAAGGTCCCTGTCCTGTGGAAGACCTCCTGTGTGATCCCGGTTCCAAAAACAGCACACGCCAAGGAACCGGCTCACTACAGACCAGTCGCACTGACCTCCCACCTGATGAAGACAATGGAGCGGCTCATCCTCACCCATCTCCGCGCTGTGGTCAGCCCCACCCTGGACCCGCTGCAGTTCGCCTACAGACCCAACATCGGAGTAGAGGACGCCGTCATCTACTTCCTGCAGCGGACGCTCTCCCACCTGGAGCCCGCCGGGAGCGCTGTGAGGGTCATGTTTTTTGACTTCTCCAGCGCTTTCAATACCATCAGGCCGGCACTGCTGCGGGGTAAGATGGAGGACTCGGGAGTGGACAGTAGCCTCACTGCATGGACCATCAACTACCTCTCAGACCGACCACAGTACGTGCGGCTGCGCAGCTGTGAGTCTGAGGTGGTCGTCTGCAGCACTGGGGCCCCTCAGGGCACTGTCCTCTCACCGTTTCTCTTCACCATCTACACCTCAGACTTCACACACGACACACACAGCTGTCACCTGCAGAAGTTTTCCGACGACTCCGCCATCGTGGGCTGTGTGTCTGAGGGGAACGAACTGGAATATCGGTCGGTTATCAAGAACTTTGTCGACTGGTGTGAGCGCAACCACTTGTGCTTGAACACCAGTAAGACCAAGGAGATGGTCATCGACTTCAGGAGAAAACCACTTTCCCACACGCTGCTGAACATCCAGGGGGACGACATTGAGCTGGTGGACAGCTTCAAGTACCTGGGTGTTCACATTAACAATAAACTGGACTGGTCCCATACCACCAACGCTCTGCACAAGAAGGGCCAAAGTCGCCTCTTCCTTCTGAGGAGACTGAGGTCCTTCGGAGTGAGCAGGCCTCTGCTCAGGACTTTTTATGACTCTGTGGTAGCTTCTGCCATTTACTACGCTGCCGTGTGCTGGGCCCCGGGCAGCACAGAGCGGGACAGAAACAGACTGAACAAGCTGGTCAGGAGGGCCAGCTCCACTCTGGGCTGCTCCCTGGACTCTGTGGAGGAGGTGAGGGACAGGAGGGTGCTAGTCAAAGCCACCTCCATCATGAACAATACCTCCCACTGCACAGGACTGTAGAGGAGCTGAGGAGCTCCTTCAGTGGAAGACTGAGGCACCCTCAGTGTAAGGAGCGCTACTGCAGGGCCTTTATCCCCACCGCTGTCAGACTGTACAATAAGTCACTTTAAATGATCACTGTGTGAAAACCTGCACTACTATTGACACTGTTTCCAATTGACACTTGTCACTTTTGTTGTACATAATTATTGTCACTTTATTGTACATATATATCCTGCATGTTACATGTTTGCACATTTCCTCCCTTTGCACAATCTGAGTGTCTCTATCCATGCCAAATGTGACATGTAAATTTCTCCTCTGTGAGATAAATAAAGCAATCTTATCTTATCTTAAAGTAGGGAACAAAGGGCATACAGTAAATGTGACATACAGTGTTTGCCCTTCACCGTCAGCAGCAGTTCAGTCGAGTTGTTTTCTCCGAGTTTGTTTGAGACGTGGCACATGTAGAGTCCTGAGCTGGAGGCCTCCACGGGGGACAGGGAAAGAACTGGTCCAGATCCCACCAGGACCACTGCGGTGGCGGTGGTCCGATACCACATCACACTCACTGCTGGGGGGTTTGCATAAATATGGCAGGTCAGTGTCACGTCACTGCCCTCTATGACCTCTGTTGACTCAGTGGAGATGGAAATGTTCATGGGAGGATCTGAAAAAAGACACAATAATTGATAAAAACATTGTAGTTGTATGATAATTTGTTGTTTTATTGTAAATATGGAGAATACAGTTTACAACGCAATCTATTGGCACCACACAGTAAAACATATGGTTTAAATATACCTACATAAAAGATGGGGTATCTAAAATGTTATTATGTCAGTCACATTCAGTCTCAGTTATTATAATTAGTGGTAATTTTATTTTTTACAAGACTCTTTCTGTTGGAACAAACAACATGGATTATTTATTAGACAAGAAAGTTACTCCAGCTATAAAACACATTCAACATAAGGAAATACTATGCAATGAATTTATTTTTATTTTTAATTGGGATCATAACTACACTATTTAGAAGGAGCTAGAAAGTAATAATTTAATTTAATAAGTTTAAACACATTTCAACATCTTACAAATCTTTAAAAAATATTCTGTGATAAGAATATGAAAATGAGTGGTAACGATATAAAAACAGTATTGTAATTCATAGTATTGTAATTGCAACAATGACTGAAAAATGATTTCATTCTTACTTACATAAAACGTTTAGACTTGTTTTAGAGGATTGGAAAATTTGGCTGCCCTGGAATGAGATGTTATTCCAGGCCTGACAGTAGTATTGTCCACTGTCGCTGGGTTTGACATCAGAGATACTGAGGCCTGGTCCGAAGCTGATAACACTTTCATCTTTAAACAGTCTGTAGGCATCGGGCATCACTGCTGGGTTGGCCTCACTGCTGCAAGTAAAGGTCACAGCACTGCCCAAAACAATGTCTTTAAATGGACTCATTGATAACATTATTTTCCTGGGTGCATCTGAGGATTAGACACAGGAAGTTATGAATTGCTTTGTAACTTGTCTCATTCTGCCATGACTTACACTGAACATTAAGAGATACTGGTGCAGAGCGGACATGATCTTGTCCCTGTAAAGAACAAGTGTATCTCCCAGTATCCTCTCTTGTTGCAATGAAACGAGTCTGCCTCACGGTTTGTCTTTCTCTAAACCACACTGTCTGAATATTTCTGCCTGTACAGCCAGAACGGCATGTCAATGTTACAGCCGTTCCTTCTGCAACCACTATGGGTTCTACGGAGGCAGTTAAATCTATGAAAAAGAACATACAATTATTGCAGTATATACAGTTGAAAGTTTACACGCACAGGCAGGAATTTCTGTCTTCTGGCCATATTTTTCCGATGATGAATGATAACATGAAAAAACTTAAATTAAATGTTCTTTTTTCAAATTATACCATCATTGAGCACCTCTGAGGAGAGATCTCATATATGCAGTTCATGCAAGGCAACCCTGAAATGTACAGGAACTGGAGGCTTTTTGCCCAGCATAAAATTCTTTACCATCAGCAAGGATTAATAACTAAAGAACAACTACCACAAACGTTATTGAGAACTGGGGGAATGGACACTTCTGATCAGTCATTTGAATAGTTTCTGTTGCATTTATTGTTATGTTACCTGACAATGAGCAATAACTTTTCTGCCTTGGAATGTAAACTTTCAAACACAACTGTATCTTTATAGCCAAATTAGAAAATGTATAACATACCTTCAACTAATAAATGAGCAGATTTCTTGCTCATCCATCGGTCCAGATATGTTGTAAATCTAAAGTAGTAGTAACCTTCATCGTCAGGTTGAATATTCTTTATCTTCAGAGCACAGTTATGGCTCTTGTCTCCAGCATATTCAAATCGTGAGGATTGTAAAGATTCATATAAAAAACTATCATCATCCCAGCGTGCTTTCACCCACTGCACATTTGTAACATAATGCCCCCATGGATAGTCATAGAAGCACTGCATCACAACAGAAGCCCCTCTCAAAGCACATTGGCTCTGCAAGGTCACCCCCCAGTCACCACTCCACACACCTGGAAACATCATCTTTTAAAACTCTTTAAAAAAATAAACGCACATACAATGAAGATCACTTACCGGGAGTGAATATAAGTACAAGATGATAAAAGTGTTCCATCCATATGTGTCTCAGTTTTAGGGGCATAGTTAATAATATAATAGAGTATTTTCTGTCAACTAAAGCCCAATTTGAACTGATAAAAACAAAACTACTGCTTCGTGAAAAGGAGAAGTAGCAGTGAGTTACTTCACTCTTCCTTTGGTGGTTATTTTATGGGGGTTTTTATGCAAGTGACAGTTCCCCTGAGTGAAAATATACACTCATTGAATGTCCACTATAATCAAAAGAAATTGTACTTATCTTCTCTATGCACTGTCAGGCCTGCTAATACTATTACAAAACCTAAAAATAATAATCATAGTATTAATAATACATTGAGTGAATACATTTGCATAAAAAACAACAAATTGGATCAGAAACAATTATAATTTTTATTTGGTTGTTGACATATACCAGTGTGTGATTCAGATGTGATCATGTATTGATAAAGCTTTGGCTCCATAAATATCTATCTATATAAAGTTTATTTACACAAATCCACATGAATTATTTCGTTTTATCGTCACAGTTGTATATTTGTCACACAATCACAGGTTCAACGAAGTGGTTAGTCTCCAATCAAGACATCTGGAAAAATTAAAACTAAAGTTATAGTAATAATTTGGAAATATTAAATGGGGTTTCTTACCTGTGGTTAAATGGCAGCAGACTTAGTTTCCAAATTGTGGCAGGGAAGAGTAAACGACTTGTGTAAAGGCCTTTGGTTTCCTGTCTCCCCCTAGTGGCATATTGGCGAAGTGCACCTGTTCAGCACTGCAGATGCACAGAGGCAGAAACCATATTAGATCTGCACATCTGACTCAGATCACGAGGAGTTCAATTTATCACGTTTTGAACCCAAATTCATAACAATCATAAGATTTATGGTCTGCTCATAAACAGGACAGGGTAAGGGAAGGGGGGTTAGAGATCAGGTCTTGAGCAATAAAATGAAATAGGGTAGGAGAATATGAGATAAGTGGAAACAATAAAACCTAAACACTTATGTAGAGTGAAGTGCTGAAAGAAGAATAATACAGTGACTATAGCTGTGAAATAAAACACTGACAAAATGACACAGGATCAGACAGAAGTTCAGACCTGGAGGCTTTTGAAAAATGGACTGTGATGTCATCTGACGAACAGCTGGGGACTTCTGCATTTGTGACGGCTGGAGCATCTTTCAGAGGGATAATGTCTGGGTGCGAACGGTCACTAAAGTCCTCTGGCTCTTCCTTTGACACAAACACACAAGTCAGACACAAAACTGGAGATCAAACTATTGAAATCAGATGTTTAATGTGATTAATGGCATACCGGGATATTATCCATTCTACCTCTTCTTTTTTGCTGTTGAGGGGACTCATAAAACACGGTTTCAGCTGTGAGTGATGAATGCTGGATCCACAAAGACAAGAGAAAAATAATAATACAATATTCTCCTATAGCCCCTGTTTGGTCTTGTTTTCGTCATGGTAGAACTAGCACGCCAATTCAACCACACAAAGAAAAAACGTTTGTACCTTTGTCTGCATTTCTAAAGACTCCATGTCTACTCGGTGCATGTTTTTACTGTGCATAAAACATCAAATGAAGATTTTAATTCAACGTATACAGGTATAATTTCAATGTTAACTAATTAACAAAATACCTTATCATAACCGCAACAGTCAGAGTGATGAGTGCAGCAGACACACCCACAGCAGAGGCCAGGGCAATGACTTTTAGCCGACCTGACAGCGCAAAATCAGAAAGGTTGTGACGATGACTTATAGAGGAAATTGGGCAAAAATAGATTGAAAAGAATGACTGCAGATGTATTAATGGTAACAGAGAAAGTGAAAAATGGGATATCCTCTCGCTGGTGTCTAGACTCGTGTTTCCACTTGTGATTTCCAAACGTAAGTCCACTTCTTTAGCTGTCTAGACTCAAATAGCAGTTTTCCACAACACCTCATCACCTCGCGCTCCCTCCTCTCATAGTGCTTAATGGGACGCACCATGACTCATAGAAACAACACTGCAATCATCAAGGCATTTACAAAGATGACCAGAATATGGCCCTCAATGAGACAAAGACTTCACCGGCCTTTACTGAATATCCAAGTGGGCAGAAACTTTCTTTTACTGTTCAGAAATACATTATTGTTGTGAACACTTTTTCCAAACAAACAAATAAAACCATTTAACTTTTAGCACTAGGTAACTTGTAAATGTGAGGCCAGTTTTGTGTTTGGAAATAGTTTTGCAATACTGGAATGATGGTTCCAAATGTACATGGGGAAAAAAAGAATACAGAAGAACTAGAATAAAATGTCTCGTAAAAAAGGAAGAAGGAATTTCTCAGAAGAAATGACGGTAAATCATGTTTCAAATACATGTCTTATAGTTGGGGTAACTTTTCTTCCTCTTTCGTGAAAAAACTGTTCTTACTAAGAGTCTTGCAAAAATAAAACAATCAGACCAAAACATGGTGTCATCAACTTATCAGAAAAAAAAAATTGTTAGGAAGAGCCCTCACGTATTGGCTGAGAGAGGTTGGTTTTCTCTTAAAGTTGTGACAGAGGCCAAAAATACAGGGTTTTTTCTTTTAAAAACAAATTCACATTTACAGTTATATTTTTTGTGGTATAAAATGTTTTAACTTGTCTTCCATACCCTTTTTACACAAAAAGGTTTTGGCAGAAGAACCACTTTACTTTCTAAAGCACACATTGTCATTGCTCACCACGGACTCTGACGGTCAAGACAGGAGAGCTGTGGACTCCGATCCGGTTCCTTGCCTCACAGTAGTACCTCCCGCTGGCTTCAGGACCAACCTCAGAGAAGGTGAAGACCGGGCCAGACCTTATGCCCCAGGCTGCTAATACACAACACAGTATTTGTTTACGGTTTCAAGGTTAATGAGAAAACCCTGAAAAAGTTTAGTTTGTTTTGTCTTTGCATGGTCTTTTTGACAGTTTTGTAAATGTATCCATTGTGAGATCACTCAAGTTTATCTTATCTTATCATCTTGTCTTGTGTTGAATGGGTAAGAGGAATTTGGAAGTATGAGCATTTGCTTCATCCAACCCCTTTTCAAAACATGTATGTATCATGGATCTATTATATTATATCTTCTTTTTGCTGATGCTCACACTGTGCAGAGCTTCCCTCCAGAGGTAACCGATGCCACGTGAAGTTGTCCACTGCAGGGTTGGCCTGGCTGCTGCAAGTCAATGTCAAGGGTCGTCCAGCATCCACCACACCGGAGGGACGGGCCCAAACCGAGGTGTTTTTAGGTGGATCTGGAAAAAAAAAGACGTTCTCAAAATACAAACTTACATTTTGTATCGCAAACCCAGTTACTCACAGAGGATGGTAAGAGCGGTGAATGGGGAGGTCTGGTATCCTAACGGATTCCATGCTGAGCAGTAGTACTGTCCACTATTATGAGCACGGACTGAAGGGAGTGTCAGGTTTTGGACACTTCCTAGAACTAAGGCTTGATCTCCTTGGATCCGGTACCATGTAAACCTAATGGAATAAATGACATTAAATGGCTTGAAGTGTGTATGCCAGGTTGTCAATAGTAAATTTCCATTAAAAGTTACAAGTTACCATAAGATGCAAAAAAAAGTGTCAAATTGTAAGTAATTGTATTATTTTAGCTTGAGTAGAATCTTCCTTCATTGTCTTCAGTTCTAGAACGCTGCTCTACTTCTTGTAAATATCCCTAACCCTTTCATTTTTCACCCCAAACTTGTGATGTATTGGAGTAAAAGGAGGCCTTACCTGGTGGCTGGAGGGTTGGCCTGACTGCTGCAGCTCAAGTTCACAGAAGACCCTTCTCTGATGTCCCGAGGAGGGAAAACCACAACACGAGTGTTCTTGGGAGGGACTATGGATCAAGGACCAGGGACAAGGCCTAATTTAGTATGTGGTTCTTAGAATAAAACATACGCTTTACTTACAACTCACGGAGACCTTGAGAGTCGAGTTTAAATTCTGTTTTACGACTAACATCAGCTAGCTAAACCATGAGCTAAACTGTAGCCCGAATGCTAATAATGTTAGCATTGTAATATGATGTCACTATCTGTTTTGCCTTAAAGACAATATTTACACGTCTAGTAAAATTAAATCTAATAATCTTAAATGTGATTGCAGTGTTAAATCCTTAGACTGGGTTAGATCTGGATCTGGTCAGTGCCAGTGTTTAGCCAACTCTCTGTAGGGAGATAATGCCAGTGTAAACATGGACCTATCAGGTAATACCGAGTGCCTTTACTTTACCGTCAATTGTTACATCTAGCTGTGCATACATAGTATAAGTTATTGTGCTTCATATGTTTTTCAACGTACATGTGACATTTAGCAGAAGAGGTCTGGACCGATCTGTTCCCAGTGAGTTACGTGCCACACAGAAGTATTCTCCTCTGTCTGTGAACTTTATGCTGAGTAGGTGAAGCTGAGGTCTGAAACTGTCTGGGATACTGCCACTGTCCATGTCTAGTGAGGAAAATCATATTTTATTTATTATATTTTAGTATCGTTATATGGTTTGGAGTGGATTTGTACCTTTGAACCAGGCAAAACTCTCCACAGGAGGTGAAGCATCACTGCTGCAGGTCAGAGTGACAGACATCCCTTCTGTCAGTTCTCCAGTTGGGTACAATGAAATAGATGTGAAGCGTGGACCATCTGAAAGTTGCATTTCATAGATGGTAATTATGTTTGAATCATTTATAAATGGGTAATGGAAACAACATGTACTGAAGTTACTGACATCCCAGAGATAAGGAGACCGACTGAGACTGGACATTCTGTGGCGGGATTGGTCGACAGGTGTATGCTCCACTAAGGGGCTCATCAAATCTGTTGATAATCATCCATTTCTCATACGAGCCCAGGTTAACCCCATTCCTGATGAAAATACAAGTTTCATGGCACGTTAATTTACTAAGTACTTTCTCCACATTGGGACAGCACTTGGTCCAGACATTAATTCAATATCTTATAGAAAACAAACCATAATCAACATTAATTGGCATGACAGTCTAAAATACTTAACCTTCTGGTTTTTGGCCAGAAAAATAAAATATCCATTCCAAACTCAACTTATTTATATTCAATTAATGTAATAATTTGGTCAAATATACCTTCATTATAAAGAAAGCAAAACAAGACAAATGACCACAGATGGGAAATCTGTCTTCCTCTCCCTCTCTTCTTTTCATTCTAGGGGTAGAAATATTGTTTTATTGGAAATTACCAAGCATGTCTGTCTATAGGAGAATCTTCCAGAATTTTAGGAATGAACCGCCCTCTCAAGAGGGAACAATTACTACAACATATCACTAGAATGTTTGACAATTAGGAGGACCAATAGTCTAGATGATCCACCCGAAAATTCTGCTATTGAAAGCTGCACAAAACATTCTCTAGTGTCTAAACGTTTTGGCCTTTCGCAGTATTTCAACAACCTTTTTTTCCCAGCTTTACAGTACATTTGACTGTTAAAGGACTACGGTGAGAGGGAAAACAATTCTAATGGCTGCACCCCTGTCAAGGCACCATGATGAAAATTGCATTAATTGCAATAAATAATGTTCCTTCTTTATCTCCATGCACTGACCTGTGGAGACTGAGGCTTCGTCCTGCAGCAGCACACCCTGCAGCTTGACAGCCGACAAAAACTGTCTCTCCAAAAGCGAACATGTTCCTGGGGCGGGCTGGATGCACCTGGACCTGCAGGTCTGACGGACACACATGCACACACACATGCACACACACATGCACACATATGCACACACAACAGAACATGAGAAATGCAGCTGTTGAAACAACTGGTGACATTTTGAGTGATTGGTAAAAACCTGTGACGTCCAGAGTGATGGTGTCAGGGGACGTCCATCTCCCCAGAGGCTGATTTGTTTCAAACCTGAAGTGATACTGTCCCGCATCGCTCAACTTTACACCTCTAATCTGAACGGAGCAGCTCGAGTAACTCCCACCAATATAGCTGAAAGACAACCACACATGATGTCGAACATGATACACTTCTGAGTGTCTATGTTCATTTATTGTCTCCAATGGGAATTTCCTGGATGAGGTTCATTATGCCTCCTATATATATAAAATTAGTTGCTCTTTTTTTCTAAAATATGTAGGTGTGGTGTTTGTTTATTTTACATTTCCTTTTATTTGTGCATTAAAAAGGCCTTATAATACAACAGTATTAGTTGTGTAGTAGTAGTTGACATGCCATATACCGCGTTCGTCCCCGATACGACAGGCTGATCTCGTTTGGGTCACTGTGATGAGCGAACTCCCTCTGTGCTTCAGTGGACACTCGAAACCACATCACTCTCCTCACTGTATGGCCTGAGGCAGATGCAAAGGAAGAAAGGGATTCATTTAAAAATACAAATAAAATAACTTATTTTTGATCACACAATTATGTAAAGAAAAATACCTGATGGGTAGTCGAAGCGACAAGGTAATGTGACTGTTGTGCCCGCCCAAACACAGATTTCTTTTCTAGAAAAAGAGACACTCCACCTGCTCTGCGCTCCTGTCAATTAATCAAATGGTCAGTTAAGCCTCTACTGTTGCACTGTTCACATTCTGTTAAGGCCAAACAAAATTGAATCTTGACATTTTTAGAGATCTTGCAGCAGTGACAGGAAAAATATTATTATGATCAAAGCCACTCCAGATTTTATTTCTTATGACCAGGAAAAAAAACGGAGGTGGCCAGAAAAATCAAATCTAATTTTGTCCAGGAACAGAGAATTCAATTTGTCAAACCACATTTTTAACAGTTGAAAACGCTACATAAGATGATATGAATAAGGACGCTACAGTGTCTTCATGTCGGGCTGCTGTCAGTCCGGATGACTACCTTGCACAAAGCACAATCAATACTTAAAAATAACCTGAGTAAAGCAAGGGCACCTGGTTTTAGAGACGCATAGGTGATTTATTAAAAGTACATAGCATGTTTAATTGTTTATTAAATTTTTTAGTCTCATATGGAAAATGTAAACCTTTCAAAATGCCATCTTTAGTTATATCAGCTAAAAAAAATACATTAAATGTAGTTTCAAATCAGCTACAGTAGAATATTGCAGGTTTTTGTATATGTATTACGTTTTTTTATATGTATTCTTACCTGGTAAAGATGTAAGAGTGATGCCCAGGACTAAAGCACATACCAACATCTCCGCTGACGAAGCAACTGTGATGTAATTTAAGAAGAGTAACGACAGAGGATCAATAATACATGAAGATAGATTTATTAGAATTCAAATGTATTAAAATGTCTTACCCTATTGGTAAATGTATGCAGCAGCCTTGTAAAGAGATGGAGTGTTGATGGGGCAGTGATGGAGGTGATTTTGTATTGATGACAGCAGCACAAAGGTCAGGACAGTGTAGTAGCAGGAGGGGAGGAGTCAGATGTTGAGGAAAGGTGTTTTAAATGGGGTTAATATTGTTCAAGATTCACACTTTCACTTTGCCACTTCCTTAGGACTGCTGACTGTTGGTCTTAACACCAAACTTCCTATTTCTTTAAATATAATTTGGTGTGGGCACTTTCTGAACTGTTAAAACAGGCAAAAAGATTAACCAGCAGGGGGGATGTAAAATAGAAAAAAAAAAAAAAAAAATGTAATTATTACTAAAAGTATACTCTATGATTTTAATATAAATCATTTATGCTAATGTACATACTGGTTGCATTGGTTTAACCTGGACTCAATCGCAAAAAGGGGAGAGGAAATAGGCAAGGCAAGGCAAGGCAAGTTTATTTGTATAGCACAATTCATACACAAGGCAACTCAAAGCGCTGAACATCAAATATCAAAGTTTCGTGTTATGAACCTGGATATTAGACATATTATTTTGAATAGTTGAAATCACATGTTGTAAATAATGCTTTTGAATTGATAAAGGTCCCATATTTCATTTTTCTTAATTTTTCACAGTCCAATTTTAGCCAGAGAGAGATGATGTCACCTCAATTGTAACGGCTGGATTTGTGCTCCTTTGCCTGAAAGTCCGCCTCGCCTCACGCGTGCAATGACTTTGTTAACACACAGCGTGAAAGCTAACTGTTCAGCTTTTCCCTGGTACATCGTTTTTTCAGACCTGAGAATAAACGTTTTCCAACAATGGCGACCCTTCACGTCGAGGGTCGCCATTGTCGATCCAGAGTTGGACCCTAAAGCCCTGTCCAAATTCTCACCCTTGCCCTTAAAAAGCATCCTTGCCCTAGATTTTGCGCGTGCCCGCGGGGGTTGTAGGGTGTCCCAATACTTAAGGAGAAGAGGAGAGGGCCCTCACACCCTCAAAAACCACCCTTGAGCGCAAGTGAGGTCGGGAGCGAGGGGGATCCCATGATGCTTTACGATAGTTGGTAATGCAGCTGCCGGGCAAAGCCGCGCTACAATGAAAGAAAACAACATGAAACACCCGCGCGCAAGTTTGTGCTGAACGTGAGGAAACTCCGAAGCGTGTGCGAGTCATTCAGAGTTTTTAATGCATGTGTTGATGCCGTGTGTGGTGACGTTCGCTCCCGATTCCGCCGCAGCGTGTGCCTTTTACTGAGGCTTCAGAGACGTGGTGCATGTTATTATTATAGATCCATGAGGTAGTTCAGAGCATCGCTTTGACACAGTTTACTTGATCCGCGGCTGTACTCGTCTGTCTCTGTGCGCGTATGTGTATGTACATGTGTCTGTCTGTGTGTGTTTGTACGCGTTTGTCTGTGTGCGTGTGTGTGTCTGCCTCTGTGTGTGTACATTTGTGTCTGTGTGCGTGTATGTGTCTGCCTCTGTGTGTACGTGTGTGTGTGTGCGTGTGTGTACCTCTGTCTCTATGAGTGCGTGATGTGCAGCAGTTCTGTACCTGTATAGCAATTCTTCATATGAAATAGAATTAAAAGCAACTTATTTTAATAAATACTTTGTTTCACAAAGTCATATTTGAGTCAGATCTTAACTGTGGTGAAATTAGACACATTAATAATGCGTGTGACGTGGAACACGTCTGCTGTGTCATTTGCATATTGTCCCCTAGATCCAGGGGTGTCCCAATTCTTAGGGAGGATATCCTGTGAGTGCACTCCCCTATGGGAAGGCACTTTTCTGGTGAGGGTCACTCACCAGAAAAGCACTTCAGTCCTGCACCAGACTTGTCCACATTCTGCGGCAGCTGCGTGACATTGGTCCATGTTCTGTAGCTTAGGTCCTGGATCATTAGCCCGTCCATCCGTGTGGAGCACGTATGTGGGGCTCCCCGAGGTTTCTCACTTTTTTTCCAACTGATTTTTTGTGAGTTTTTCCTTGCCGATGCAGGAGGGTCTGTTGGACAGTCAGTGTCCAACAAGAAGGACTGTGGTGATGATCCAGGACACTTTAACATTCTACAACATGTATGGACATTTATCAACATTCATGGACATTAGTCTCTCCCTATGGACCAATTCATATGTTTATATTTTGTGTCTTAACTGTTGATTCTCTGATCTGTGTTGGTAATTTCAATGGTTTCGTTAAGTCCTCTGAGATGACTGCTGTTGTGATTTAGGGCTATACAAGAATAAATTGTTGTTGTTGTTGGCACTCACACCTCGAGGGCCCTCAGAATTGGGACGGGGCCTAATTATTCAGTGGCATACAGCGAGTTAGTTGCATTGTACTTACAGATCTAGGCTCCTTGTTAGCGTCTGTTATTGTGGAAATACAGTAAATCTAGGATTCAAGATCAGCCTTTAAGTAAGTCCAGTTTAATGGCAACTGTAGTTGTGGAACAGTCTGGTGAAGTGTCGCTTGCAGAAAAAACAGTTACATCTCAGATCTCAGAGGCAGATCATTGTGAAAAAAAGTCCAACCCCATTCACCCCATTCTTCCTCTTTGGGACAAATAGTGTCGTCACATATTTACACCCCAAAACACGTTTTATTCAAGTTGACATGATGCTAGTATAGACCGCTGGACTCGGAGAGAGGCTGCGTGTGTTGATTCGCTGTTTCAGTTTTTCCCCCTGTCACCTCCTGGTGGTGGGCTTCTCACATCACAATTTTGTGCCATGTCACGATTTGAATCGAGTCGTTTTGCTGCCTCTCGAGAATGAAAGACAAAGATCGCTCTCTAACTAATGCTTGAGGAAATCTATGAAAAAACTTTGGGCATGCATATGAACTCTTCTTTCTTTGAATATTAACTATACTCTTTTCTCTATATTTCATGAGAGTATTCTATTGAGACAACACTACTTATTGTACTGTAGTATTGTCCTAACATTCAATAATTCAAAATATTTTTAATGAAATGGGGCAGTCAATAGTGACTACCCACCTTGTTGTAGTCACTAGTAAAATTCCTATTCTCATAGTTTAGAGAAAAACAAAATACTTTAAGTTTGAAGTCCATCCATCCATTTTCCTTCGCTTTATCTGTTGGATAAAGGACTGTTGGGTGCCATAGAACATGAAAAGATGAATGTAAATAGTTATTATATTTTTTATTATTGATTTTTTTCTTCAAGACCCCACTCACAATTGTCCTTGTGTCCCTTAGTTTTCTTGAGAGTCGTTGGCACACAAATGCAGCCACAAGCCGACATGCAGAGGGTCGAGACCTCTCACTCAACTGTGTGCACTTAGTCTGATGAGTCTAAATGACTTTAACATGCTACACTGCCACAGCTTGGCCAACACATGTCAGTTTACCGTCATGATGCGGCCAATTGGCTACTTAGCCTCACTTTGACCCAGGAGTAATGAGGTCGCACTGGTTTAACATTGAAGTCGATCTCTACTGTAGAAGAGGGGAGAAGTTATGTCAAGGTTGGAGTCAAGAACCTGTATATTACACTGTTTTGAACTATTTGAATCAAATGAAAAAGTAAAAAGTGCATGGTAAAGTCTACTTCTGATCTTAGTTTTAGGCTCTCATTGTTAGTGGGGCCCCACCAATCACTTTTTATGTCACAAAGGTGGTTTTAATAAGTAATGTAAGCTGTTAAGATAAATGGGCATTATTAGGTGCAGCTTTATACTCTCAATAAAACAAAAAGCAGTTGCACTAACATGTAACAGAAATGATATTGCTGGGAAAGTTCAGTTTAAAATATGATCACAATTCTCAGGATGTGAGGTTAAATGAACAATATACTCCAGTTCACAGATTGCTCTGGCGGATTATAGTTTAGAGCTCAAAATGGTTTGCAGACCTTCATAGCAGGTCTCCACATGACAGGAACACTCTTGTGATTTAATGATCTTGGGTATGAGAAAGAAAAAAGTCACATTGGTCACAGACATAAAGCGTCTTAATACACTGCATAAGTATACACATTTTCTCTGTGCCATGGTTCTTGTATTTTTCTGCATAGAAGAGTGGTGGGCTTTGAGCTTAACCTGTAACCACAAAACGACTTCAAAAGGATCACTGCTCACTAATAGGTCAAAGCCTGATGTAATCTTAATCGAAAACAGGCCCAACTAAACGAATGAAGAGAACCAGATGGATAGAGCTAGATTAAGTGTGACTGACCACAAACAGAGAAGGAGGTAGGGAGCAAAAGTTTCAAATAGGTAAAGAAGAGGGATAAAAATTGGTTTCTTCTGAAGAGAGGCACATGAGGCAAACATTTGTGTGAGAAGAATAGAGATTTTAGGCTCTGCATAAGTGTCAGAGATGTCAGAGGGGAAAAGGAGGAATCCAAATGGAAAGAAAAGGGGCAATTGACTGGTGCATGACAGCATATCCCGCCGTACGGTAGGGAAGGGATCCGCTGACCGCAGCCTGAGGCCCGATGAAGTGTGACCGTCTGGTGGTCAGACTGGACCTGAAGATTTTCCGCTGTTTCAAAACACTTCCTGCTTGCTGTTTTCATGTTCTATGACCGTGCATGGTTTGCTCCCCTGCTGCACTTTCAGTTGTCTAAAATGTGATTTCTGTGTTACTCCTGTGCCCACAGATTAGGCTGTTGGCTCACGGCCTCTGCAGCTTTGGACAGACTCCACAAAAGCAAATACTGACGAGACGGTGCAACATATGTAAGTCTTCATGTTGAGTGGTGCTCTCCGCAGGGGGAAGTCTGGGCAGGACGGACAACCATCAGAGACACAATCACATTTGACAAGGTGATCTGTAGTTTCTTTGCACTCTCTGGACAATCTACATCACGGTATTATGGCTGGGAGCTTGGCCAAAAGAATTATTGCTGCAATTGGGAATTATATACAAAAGGTCTTGAGTGAGTTGTACATCTTTATAAACCTGAATTTAGCCATTTCTTCTCACAAATAAGCCAAACTAAGCACAAGCTGATTTTTAGGGCTACACATTTGATGCCTTTTTGCCGCTGACTGATTTATGCTGTTTTTTCACATTGCTGTCCCATTCACAAACTCTGGTGGGTCAGATTTCTGCTGCTGTCTGCCAGAGACCTGTCTGTGGCGGCTGTGGTATTCCACGCTGAATGAGTCATGTCTGGTGGTTATTATGGGCAAGCGGTTGGCCTCTTTCGCCCCCTCTAGTGGCTGCTCACAATGCTACTTCTGCTGGGTTTCAACCAATGAGATCAGATCAAGTTCTCAATTAACCAGCTGAGTTTACTGCACATTCCACTGTGCCATCGTAATAATGAGAATTTGAAGAGAAATTGACAATCATTGACAACCTTTCTGAAGGGATGGATAATCCTTACAGGGTGAAAAGTGGGGTAAGAAATGTCCCATTGCTTAAAATGTTGATATAATTTTGATATTTCTTAAAGATATTAATAGATTCATTTATAATTTATTTTCACACTTAAGATTAACATAAAAGAATAGGAAGAGAATTGGTCTCAGCCGAGAATCAAACGCTAAACCTGGTTGGAAAAAAAAATAATCTGAAAACAACAACAGATTGAGACAGGATTGGGATTATAAGGCAATATATCATTGATTTGGACACCAATGAATAGGAAAAAAGAAATTGTTAAGAAAATCAGCTCAACATGAAAAATTGATCCATCATCTGTTGGAAAAATGTATTCAATATTAAAACTGACAAATTGAATAGGAACACAATATAAACCATCCTCTCCCCCTGTCTTTAACTTGTTCAAACGATCCATCTTTTTTATATTGGCTTCACTTTGCTCTCATTATCTTGTGTTTCTGAAAAGCAGTTAAAGCCATTTCCTGGTCGAGGGAACATGCATGTGTCCAGAGCTGGAGACTGTGTGGGAGGCTGTTCATGTGTGATAGTTTTACCATGTGCTCGGTCCCAGCGCGGGACGACTGAATAAAGTCGGATATGAAGGAACCTGTCAGGTTTGGGGCTACTGTCGGAAAGCCTCCAGCACCTTAGTCCAAGCTTTTTCCTTGAAAATGATAACAAACAAAATATAGATAAATCTTACAGCATTTTATTTTTAACATTTTTAATATTCATACTCAAGTTTGTAACTTTGTCTGACATAATATTTGAAATACATTTACCTTATATTTAACTTAGAGACCAAGGTGTTGCGATTTACGCATTTAGATGAAAAAACACCCCTAAAAAATTACTATTAAACAATGTTAAATGCGAAATGTTGTCAAAAACAACTTTCAAAGAATTTACACCAAGACGTTTCAGCTATTTTTATTTTATTTTTTATTTTGCCAATAATGAGTGAAAACACCCAATAAAGTGGTTGTGGCTGTTTGTCTGAAGTTCAATAAATTTGTTGAGTGAATTTTCCAACGCTGTAATTGTTTCATGAATGTTATCAGAATTAACACAATTGCACAGTCACTGGATCTGCCTTGTGCTTTTCTATATGGACATAGTAATTATTTGGCTGAATGCTACAAACTGCTACAAGTTATGCAGAAATTTTGAAATCAAAATGTTTTTTCTAATGGTGGTAAGTAACCCATCAGAAAGTTATTTCTTATTATTTTGTAAACAACATAATACCCTGTCATATCACGCAGAAAATTATGTAACTTGTGTGTACTGCATATATTTAAGTTCATCGTAAAATGTTAATTATTCTAAAATAATAATAACATAATCACACAAAACACCTTGAATAGAAACTAATTCCACTCCCCTTTTCCTGCAACTAAAAGTGGTTATTTCAAGCATCCATCACAAAGTTTGGGTTAGTACCCTTAAAGCTTTTTTGTATTTCTGTGACATGCATACTGTAGTATTCTATAGAGAATATTATAGACATCTTTAAATTTAATGGGTTCCAAAGCTAAAAATATGATTAGGATAAGTTAAAGGGTGGTACCACTCATAAAGGAGCTATCAGATCTGGAGGTTGTCCAGTCCCGCCCTGGCAGCTATGCCTCTGGCTTTTTAACTTGATGCACATGGAACAGGCTGTGTCCAGGACTTTCCTTCGATCCTAACCTTAACCCATAACATATAATTAGTTTTTCTGGAGGGAAAAATGGTCCACACAAGTCATTTTCTGGTAATTGACTGCACGAACTGTTGAGTTTAAATGGTCACAGGCATACAGTGTGCTTGCATAGGCACACACACTGCTCTTAAACAGTGGTCGTGCAGCTGCTGCGTGTGATAATGAGACAATCTCTGGAGAGACTCATCTGGACTGCGTTATATCATCTCCCTGGAAACTGGCCACAACTAAAATTGTAACTGTTTTGGGTTCAGTCAGCTGCAGCATGAGGTCATCCAGTATAATTCCTACAAATAAGCCGAAAAAACTGCCTCTGATGACATGTGAATGTGCAAAGAGCAGTGATTTTTACTATAAATGTGGAGATTTTTGCGGTACAGACTAATTTGGGTCTCTGTCTGTTTGTCTACACAGAGCCACACTATAAACACAGCCACGCACCTGCTTCATGTTTTCAAAACCAGCCAAAGACATCTATAAAACTCTCTATTCAACTGCTGTTTTATTTTACTCTTGTAATATAAAAAAATTGTTTGCGTTGCTTGCGTTGTTTGACTGCTCAATGAAATAGCTTTCTCTGGTAATGTTAATGGTTGACTGGGCTTTTGTTTCTAAAAATTAGGTTTCAATTAAAATTACTTACATATGGCTGTCAGTCTCAGTTGTTTAGTTAATCTTAGTCAACCAAAAATGCGTTAATAATATTAAATTACAAAGGTAATTGGCTGAAGATTTGGGTATTTTGATACTCAGTAAATCAATTCACAAGGTTACATTTTTTATATTAATAGCATCAGTTTCTGTGATTTTCGGCCTAAACGTTTGTCTTTAGGTAACTAATCGATCAACTGTGGATGTCTTTACTTCACGTCGTGTGTCGTTTGTAGTTTTCAAACATATAACATGATTCACCCAATCTCAAAGTTTGTGGTTTCCAACAACCTAATTCAGCTGTAATGTTTTTTGTTGATACAGAATAGTAAAAAACATTGTGGATGGGCTAGGTCATGACAGAAGATGAATAAACACATTGAATCTGAATCGTCAGTATGTTGTAAATGAGGCGTTTGTGGTTATGTTCAAAGTAGAATTTGATTACATAGTTCAATCAAAATAAATTGTTGTTCATTATCTTGATGCGCATTATACTGCTGTAATAACATGGCTGAAATTGTCTGGTGTCTTCACAGCTGCTCCGTTTCCTTTGTGAGCTACTGACTGCAGTGCTCATAGGTGTGCCCCCTGGTGTGGCTTCTATTACTAACTCACATCTGGGCTGACCACTTTTACAGTACATTTACAGTTTTACAGTAGAACCACATGCAGACAAAATACTTAACGATCGCAGTACACGCACCAGTTAAAAACTTTTTGTGGCCGACTTTTATTTCTATATTTCCACCATTGTCGCCTGATGAGTTCACTGGTGGGTTTGCCGTCATAAAAAAAGACCAGAATAATGAGGTTTTCATCATTTTGTTTCAGGCTGAGAGGATGTGAAGTGCATGAATGTGAGCATGACCGTTTCACCCTCGCCCTAAAAGAGGCTGTGATTGGCTGGGCCTGGCGTATTTCCCCAGCATTGGCTTTATTAAAGACCTCATCTGCGTGTGTGCATTAGTGTGTATTAGTGTGTGTGGTTTACAGGCCGGCTGCGGTGCTTCTCTTGGGACGTCCCCTTCCCAGCTGTTACTTTATAAGACTCTAACATCAAACACTCCCAGGTTTCACTTCACACAGCTTTCACTTCAACCTAGAGCCGGCCTTAACAAGTTCATCAAATGAACTCCTCCTCTGCCTCTTGGAGCAGTTCTCACACACCTACAGCTCCTGACAGGAAGCACTACAGTGGCATTGCAGGTTAGGAGGAAGTCATTCCAGCTCTACTCAAGCATTATTTTATCAAGTTGTTCCTTTTCTTCCTTATCTGCGCTTGTTCAGGTTCTGTTTACTCAAAGACAAGTTTGTAAGTTCTTTTAATAAGAGAGAGTTTTGGCGGTTGACTTCCGCCTGTGAGCCAAGGTATAGGCCCCCTCATCTCTGTTGTTGGCTTATGTGCCCCACTCCCTGATTCCTCTCGTATCCATCTTTTGTATTTATGTTCTTTCTTTCCTATTTTGTATTGTCCCTAAGTGATTTTCTCTTCTGCAGTGGTCGGATATTGCTGTTTTGAGGTTTTCTTGTGTTACTTTTTTTGCATGTTCTTTATGGGATTTCATTCATATTAATTATGCCCCAAAGGAGGAGCAAAAAATGTAATCTTCCTATAACTTTAACCTGTCAAGTTATGGGCACGTTAAGAAGCACTGATGCAGTTTTTAGTTGTAAGTAAGTTATTTTTATTTACATAGCGCACAGTCCAGAGTCACAAAGCGCTTGACTATTGTGGGCATTTGTCTCTCACACCACACATGAGAGCGGGGTTGTCATACAGGAGGCACATGCCAGACCGGAGAGAAGATACAAACTCAGCTCAGAAAGGCCCTGCTCCAACCGGAGCAAACAAACATTCACAAAACATTTTAACTTAAAAAACACTTCCTTCTCCTGCCTCCTACAGTAATTCCTTTGGTCTGCAAAAGTAGCCTTCCCGCAGCTCCACAGTAGACTAGCTATAAAACTGAGCATGAAGTATAAAATGTTTGTACTTGACCCGACCATAAAACTGCTTCTGCTCTTTAATATTTATTTGTGTTACACCTCTGTTCCAACCTTAAGTATAATTTAAGGATATAGTGTTAACAACAGAATATGAGTCAACACTGAAAGATAGATACTGCTTGTCGTTTAGCGGTTTGTAGCTTTATCCATAAGAAAATACTGTACTTTAAACATGAAGGCCGTAAAAAATAAGAGTTGGCACAGAATGTACCTTCTGGTTTCTGGTGTTGCTCTGTCTTTATCAAATGTGAATAAACCCATAGGTGTGTCTGGTTTTGGGGCAGTTTTGTGCCAGCAGGACCCATGGCTGCTGTGATGTGAGTACAGTGGTATCTCTTGTGAAGTGAGCAGCTATCCTGACTAACTTTCATAGTTTAGCTACTTCACGACTGGTGATGGATGGAATTTGGATTTATCTCAATTTGTGAAAGTAGAAAGTCTAGAGAAGCAGACTGTGAAGACATGCTTCTGTCTGCTATATAAGTGATTAATATCATCATAAGTTTGTTAATTTGTTACTTTGTATAGTCACACCATAACTGGATGGTATAATGAACAAGTGAAGAACATTCTGAAGGTGATCTGGGTCATCGTCTGGATGTAGATTTTTGTATGAATATATTTTTGCTTTCTTTGTCTGCCTCCCAAGGCCACGCCCCCTCTCTCTGGCCCTTCTTCAGAGCAAGCATCCAGACAGATTGGAGGACATGCGTTTGGAGGAAACGGGAAAGGTTATTTTAGCAAATCCTTTTATATCTGTCTGGCAAATTTTTAGAGGGACTATAGGTTTTTAAAATCAAACTTAACTACTGATAGCAGCATTGTGCATGAGGCCGCCACCGCATGGACAGTAGTTTCACTTGAACACGTGGATCCCGCAGTTGCGCAGGGTTGTGTTATTTCAGTTCTTTATCAAATCAAATGCAACAACACGGACGAGTTTGTGTTGTGACTTCTGTGCAGCTTATGTCTCTTCATGTCTTCGTCTTTGTGTGTTTTCTCCCAGTGAAAAAACAAACCTTTGTGACCCCTCTAAAACACTGCTGAAGTATTTTTTTCCCAAATGCACACATGAAACATAAAAAGTTAGGTGGGATCCGGGTTACAAATAGTTCTAATATGGTGCTCTACAGGTCTATATGTATTTTGTTCATTTGAAATGTAAAAGTTGGCACACTTCTGTCTACAGTCCAGCAGTCGTTGTGTCTTGCAGAAGAAGATTTTGTGTGTAGTCAGTGGCAGGCGCCTTTGTAAAATGAATGCTTTCATAATTTCAGTTCTGAAAATGATTGTTGGGTTAGGGTTTACTCAACACTTCCCTTTAAATTTTGTATTAGATATTTTTGCGGCAGTTAAAAAATACTATTGCCTTGATGCCAATATTCTGTCAGCCGTTCCGAGTTTAAATAATTGTTTTCCACGTGATCAAAACTAGCCCTTAGTAACCTTTTCTGTGCGCTTTGTATTTTTAGCCAACCAGATTGTCCCGGCAAACTGTCAAACCTCTGAGAGAAAAAAAGTGGCTGCCCTTGATGTTGGCAGATGGAGAAAAGTGAGTTAAAATTACAGAGGCGCAGAGGTGAGAGGCTCAGGTGGTCCATTGCAGCCACCTCATTAGCAGCAATGACATCACCGCTTTCTAAAAACCACTCCACTTCTCTGTCCTATAGCTACAACTTCACTTTTCTGCTACTGGCTTCATGTGTCCAAGGAACAGATTTTATGTATGCAACTCCAGAGTAAGCTTTAAAAAAGTGTGTTTGATATATTCTTTTATGTTCACTTTTCCTCCCCTTCACAAATTTACTACGAGTCACAGATGTCTGAATTGAACTGATTTGGTTGAACAAAGCTTTTGTTGGCTACCCCAGAGACTACGGCTTACGTTAATACATCTACACACTTTTAAAGTTACTGAACAAGGGAAGCAAATGTCCCACAGTTGAGACAGGGCTTCCAAAATGGCAGGTAGTCAACAGCAACATTTTCCTGCCTCCTTTATGTATGAACTCAAAGCAGAGGTCCAAACCGCACGAGAGCAACTTGTGATAACAAAGAAGTGATTCGACAGTGATTAACTGTGAGGAAAAGCAGATTGTTTTGACGTTTGTCCACTCATATGGGACCCCACGGTAGTGTTGTTTTTATATAGATCCAAAGTGATGGTAGATGTATCTTGAACGTGTTACAGTAGAAGTATAGTAGAAGACGTATATGATCACTTTAAGATGTCAATGGTGCGTGTGGTTTGTGTAACTTGTACAGCAGGTCTGTGTGTCGAAACGACTGTGATGCTTCTGCAACTATTGAGTATTGCTTTGCATGACAACAGATTCCGATTATAGATTGAAGGAGTCGACTGAATGCTGACATCAGTCATATTGTTATTTACAGTAAGAAGCTCATTAGAGCTCACTCCGGCATTCCTGTATGATACTTTTCTCTTTTCCCTGCGGTGATGAGCAACAATATGCAATATTGACTCGCTATTCATAGTAGAGCATAACGTAATTGCATAATACGTTACAATTATTTTACAAATATAATTCACAGCAGTAAAATCATGATGTAAATTCGGGCACCTGCGCGCTGAAGACACGCTGAAGATGCTTGGTGTAAATTTGGGGCAATAATATGTTTAAGCAACGCTCAACACATAATCCTGCCCATGTGTGTTCATTGTACACCGGCACATGAAACAAGTCTGACCGCCAGAACCGTCTGATTTTAAAATAACTATTTTATAATGTGGAAATTGGCTGCTGCTGTGGGGTGTGTGTGGTTCTGATTATTGATAAAGGTAAATTGGGACAGCTGCATTTTACTCAAATGAAAGATAGATGAAGAACCAAAAGGTTTCAATCAATCAATCAATCAATCTTTATTTATAGAGCGTTTTTCCTACTCAGGGCAACACAAAGCGCCTCACAGTCCACACCACACAAGGCACAAATCATCACCATTAAAAATAGAATTAAAAACACACAGGTAATTAAAAACATTTAAAAATTAAAATCACACAAGTAATTAAAAACATTAAAACCACACAAATTAAAAACATTGAAATCACACAAATTAAAAACATTAAAATCACACAAGTAATTAAAAACCATTAAATACACACAAAGAGTTACAATAATAAATAACAAGGTGTGTTAAAAAGATAAAATTCTTCAGTTGTATGCATAGGAAAAAAGAAAAGTCTGGATTCGAACATCGACAGAGAGGCAGCCAGTCTCACATCCTCAGGAAGATTGTTCCAGACCTTAGCTGCATAAATCTGAAAAGTAGCCTCCCCATGTCTAGTCCTGACTCTGGGCACTAACAGGAGTCCCGTCCCTGCGCTCCTCAGAGTCCGGGCCGGTTCATATGGCACAAGCATATCATGGCAGTACTTGGGTGCGAGGCCATGGAGAGACTTGTAGACAAGCAGAGCTGCTTTAAAGTCTATCCTCTGGGCCACAGGAAGCCAGTGCAGAGACCTGAGGACCGGACTAATATGGTCGTACTTCCTGGTTCTAGTTAAGACTCGGGCTGCAGCATTTTTAATGTACTGCAGCTGTTTTACAGCCTGTTTGGAGATACCTGTGAGAAAGCCATTGCCGTAATCTAGCCTACTGGAGACAAAAGAATGGATAAGAATCTCCAGATCTGCTTTGGACACAATATTTTTAATTTTGAAAATATTTTTCAGATGGTAAAAAGCTGCTGATGTTACCGATCCAATGTGGCTATTGAAGTTTAAGTCAGAGTCCATTATTACTCCCAGATTTCTGACCTTATTTGAAGGTTTTAGGGAAAGAGACTGTAGGAGTGAGTCTACTGGTCCATGTTCTCCTGCAGTCAGTGAGACATAGATGTGAGTGTCATCAGCGTAATTGTGGTAGGACACTTTCATACTTTGAATTAACTGACCTAATGGCAGCATGTAGACATTGAACAGGAGAGGTCCCAGGATCGACCCCTGTGGTACTCCACAGGTCAGGGCCATATGATCTGAGACATAGTCTCCAATCTCCACACAGTACTTCCTTTCTTATAGATAGGACCTAAACCAACTTAGGGCAGTGCCAGCAACACCAACCCAGTTCTCCAGTCTCTGCATGAGAATCTCATGGTCAACGGTGTCGAAGGCGGCACTCAGATCTAACATGACTAGAACAGAGACTTTTCCTGCATCAGTGTTAAGCCGAATATCATTCGTTACCTTTACTAGAGCAGTCTCAGTGCTGTGGTGGGGTCTAAAGCCAGACTGGAACATATCAAATGAGTCATTAGTTATTAAAAATTCAATAAGTTGTTGGTAGGCAACTTTTTCAAGAATTTTTCCCATGAAAGGCAGATTTGAGATGGGACGGTAATTTTCGAGTACCGTGGCATCCAAACTGCTCTTTTTTAAGAGGGGCCTGATAACTGCCGTTTTCAGGGCCATTGGAAATCTTCCAGATAAAAGAGACATGTTTACCATTTTCATGTTAAAAGTAGTTTTCCTGTTAACTATGTTGTTTGAAATCAGCGTATGTGCCATCAGCGTACCAAACATTCACGTTGAAGTGAAACGTAACATATTTTGCTGTACATAGCTACACATGAATACTGCTTTATATATATTTTAATTTAAAAACCTTTGACAGCACATTTTCTACCTAAAATAGGATAGTGAATAATTTAAATTTTAATCAGTAAGTTGATTTGTAGGTGTATTAAAAAACGTATCAGACGTTATTCATATTGGCATATTGCTGTATCTAGCAGTAAATTCAGATTGAACTCCAGATCATTGATTAAAACCACACTCCGACTCACTGAAGCGGTTTTATTAGCTCGTGGTGTGCGCAAATACAGCTCTGGTCCAAACACACTGGAGGAGCCGCCCTCCTGCAGAGGCGATGGGCTGAACTATGACAGCTTTCAACAAGTTAAAAGTCGCAGACTTTTAATATCCCTGCATTTGTTTCATTGTTTCACAGAGTTTTTTGAGGGATGTAGAATCAAACAATAGCTCTTTTACTATGTGTCTGAACCCAGTGCACCGCGAGCGTGTTTGTGAGAAAGTCTATCATAAAATGCTATATGAACGGAAAAACTAAGGGAGCGAGCGCGCTTCAGCTGATGTCTTCCAGTTGTTTGACCTCTCCTTCCTTCAGCCTCTTTTTTGGGTCCGTGCGCCTCTCGCAGTTTAATAAGGCCAGCTGTAGAGTCTGGATCTCAGGGGAAACGCGCTCGAGTGTGGCTGGATCGGGGGCTGATTCGGGGGCTGGATGCGGTGGTGGTGGGGGGCCAGCACTTCCGACCATTTTCCCCTTGCAATACACCATGCAGTCTGGAGCCACAGCCAACGCTCTCCTCTCTCTCCTAACCACAACCGTTTTATTCTGCATCTCACTTTACCTCCTGCTTTTCACCAACTTTTTTTTCTGTACTTTTAGTCCTTCCTAAGCCTTTACTCTCTATGCAAATGGTCACTCTAGAGATTGGTCATGTCCCTATATGACTATTATTTTGGAGATTAAAGGACAAATATATGCAAAATTAAGATTTTAACAATTTTCACTTAGAGCTCCATCCATGTGAGTGTTAGTCTGAATCTGTATTACCTGTTAATAGGTCTGTAATTAACAATTATTTAAATGAGTAATTATTCTCTTGATTATTTCAGCCCTTTACAACTTGTTTTCTTTTATTAATTTAACTCAAAATAGACGTTTAAATTATTTAAGTTAAGATAAGATAAGAGATTCTTTTTTCGTCCTGCTGTGGGGAAATTCTAAGTTGTTAAATGATTTTAAGTTCATGAAATTTGTATTCTAACAAAACATTTGTATATTTGGTAAACCTCAGTTGCTTGTGGTAGCGAATGTTTTAACAACATTTATTGTTTTTGTGTTTCATTCTGTAATAATTACAGCTAATTATGGCATGTTTGGTCCGTGAATGATTTAAAAATGATTATTATTTGTTGACAATTACATCCATCATCGATTAGAATTGATCAAAATTGGTGTACACGTCCTCGGGGTTATGTATTGTTCTTGTAATTGTTAACAAGTCTAATCTCTATCCTACAGTCACACAACACAAGACAATGGACATCAACATAATAACATTGTAGCCCTGGCTTCTATGAATGTATATATTCATATTTCAATTGAAAATCAACCTTATCTGATAGAACTTTATTTTTGATGGAGATGAATGGGCCAAACTTTCCGTCTCAAGATATACAAAGCTTACCAAAAGACTGTGATTGCAGCTAATGGGGGTTCCCTTTCAACTCATATCAGCGTTTAATTTATACATATATATTTATATATAGAGTTTTTTTCATTTCACCACTGTTATATTGTTGCTGTCTAAAAACAATCAAATGGCAAAATGTGCAAAAGTTTAAGATATTTGTACTTTTGCTTGCCACTGTAAAAATCATTGGGGGACAAATACATACTTGTATAGTATTGAGTTTTGGCACTTCATTGGCACATCAATAACCCTATTCCCTACCATCTTCTCCTGTCTCTGCTGCTATTACATTGGACCAAGAGTGAACGCAGTGGTCTTGGCGGGGACTATGATAAATGGTTCAGATCTCATGCCGTATCAGGTCCAGACCAGCTTCCGAGTTTTGACAGCTCCGTGACCCACACCAGAGCGGTTCAGCCGGGACAGGCTCCGCAGGATGGGGGTACGGGGGCGGACTGTGCCTGGCCTGGTGCTAGAGCTGGTGGGTGTTTTTCCTCAGACTAATGAATAATACGTCTGAGTGCAGAGTATCGGGCTGCAGCCGAGAGGAGGAGCGAGAGGCTAATGACTATCAGATGGTCTGTACTACTCTGCTGCTGCTGCTGCTTTGTCTCTAAAGGAAAACACCACTCATTTGATAAAGCACGTACTGTATCTTATTAGTATTATCTGGGCCGATTAAAGAAAAATATATTAAGGGAGACTTTTGTCTTCAAAATCCCATTGGGAGACTCTAAATGGTCACAGTAGTAGTCAATTTTGTGTGTACATATTATATGAAATTAATCAAATCTCAAGTACAGCAATTAATTAATGAGGTGAGACTTGAGTCATATATATATATAATATATATATATATATATATATATATATATATATAAAAAATAAAATTGTCCACTCACCTTTGGCCCTCCGCGGGCGGTTATCCCTCTCTAAGCTCGGGTCCTCTACCAGCCTGGGAGCTTGAGGGTTCTGCGCAGTATCTTTGCTGTTCCTAGCACTGCACATTTCTGGACCGAGATGTCCGAGGTTGTTCCGGGGATCCGCCGTAACCACTCTTCTAGCTTCGCGGTCACTGCCCCGAGTGCACCGATCACCACGGGCACTACTGTCACCTTTACCCTCCAGGCCCTCTCCAGCTCCTCTCTGAGACCTTGGTATTTCTCAAGCTTTTCATGTTCTTTTTTCCGGATGTTACCATTGCTTGGAATTGCCACGTCCACCACCACGGCTGTCCTCTGCCCTTTGTCTACCACCACAATGTCAAGTTGGTTCGCCATTACCATTCGGTCGGTCTGTATCTGGAAGTCCCACAGGATCTTTGCACGCTCATTCTCCACCACCTTTGGAGGAGTTTCCCACTTAGACCTTGGAGTTTCCAGCCCATACTCTGCACAGATGTTTCTGTACACTATGCCAGCCACTTGGTTATGGCGTTCCATGTAGGCCTTCCCTGCCAGCATCTTGCACCCTGCAGTTATGTGTTGGATCGTCTCAGGTGCCTCTTTGCACAACCGACACCTTGGGTCTTGTCTGGTGTGGTATATCTGGGCCTCTATCGCTCTGGTGCTCAGGGCCTGCTCCTGTGCAGCCATGATGAGTGCCTCTGTGCTGTCCTGTAGGCCAGCCCTTTCTAGCCATTGGTAGGACTTCTTGAGATCAGCCACTTCTGTTATGCTCCGGTGGTACATGCCGTGTAGGGGCTTGTTCTCCCATGATGGGCTCTCCTCCAGCACCTCCTCATCTCGCCACTGCCTGAGACATTCACTGAGTACGTCATCCGTTTTGGCCTTCTCCATGATGTAGTTATGGAGTTTGGATGTTTCGTCCTGGACAGTGGCTCTCACACTCACTAGTCCTCGGCCTCCTTCTTTACGGCTTATGTACAGTCTCAGGGTGCTGGATTTGGGATGGAACCCGCCATGCATGGTAAGGAGCTTTTGAGTTTTAACATCCGTGGTCTGAATCTCTTCCTTTGGCCACGTGATTATTCCTGCAGGGTATCTGATCACTGGTATCTGATCACTGGCAGGGCCAAAGGTGAGTGGACAATTTTTTTATATATATATATATACAGCATTTAATCGCACAATTGTTCCTTGTTTTAAAGGTTGCTTTATTTGGTTTGAAAAGGGATTGGATGAAGTAAACAGCTTTTATTATTCAATCCCCTCCAAAAAAAGTATTTGGATTGTCTAATGTAGCCTATTCAATCAATCAATCAATCAATCAATCAATCACATTTTATTTATAAAACGCTTTTCATACAAAAAATGTAACACAAAGTGCTTTATAGTTTAGTTAAAAACAATCCAACATGCCCAGCACAGCCAAAGATTACGCCCAGGTTTTTCACTTGTGATGATGGATTAAAAGAGTGTGATTGGAGTTTTGGTAAAAGTTTCTCTCTCTGGGCCTCAGGACCGATGACTAAAACCTCAGTTTTGTCCTGGTTAAGCTGGAGAAAGTTTTCTGCCATCCAGGATTTCAGGTCTAAAATGCAGTTAAAAAGAGCATCCATTGGCCTGGTGTCATCAGGAGACATGGAGATGTACAGCTGTGTGTCATCTGCATAACTGTGGAAGTTAATTCCATGTCTCCTGATGACACCGCCAAGAGGGAGCATGTACTAGGACCTGAAATGGAACCCTGGGGCACACAACATGGGATTTTATGGACCTGAGAGGAACAGGTATCCAAACTTACCATGAAGGATCTGTCTGTTAAATAAGACGTGAACCATTTCTGCGTGCTTTTGTTATTGATTTGGTTTGTAGAGTGTATAGAACTGTATGGCGGCATACATCTGAAACGCTGCCTCCCAATGTTTAGTCCGTACTCTGGGCACCAGCAGGAGGCCAGTCCCTGTGCTCCTCAGAGTTCGAGTTGGTTCATACAGTTTGGTACTAACATGTTACCTATGTACTTTGGTGGTGCGAGGCCATGGACAGACTTGTAAGCAGAGCTGTTTTAAAGTCTCTTCTCTGAGCCACAGGAAGGCAGTGCTTAGACGTGAGGACTGGACTGATGTGATAATACTTCCTGGTTCTAGTCAGGATTCGAGCTGCTGCGTTTTGAATATACTGCAGTAGTCTATTCTACTGGAGACAAAAGCATGGATAAGTCTTTCTATGTCAGGTTTAGACACAATACCTTTGACCTTTGAGTGAGTCCAGAACTACCCCAAGTGTTCTAACCTCATTTTCAGGCTTCAGGGAGAAAGACTGGAGGTAACTGTTGACCGTTTCTCTTTGCTCATGTGGATCAAAGACAATTGTTTCTGTTTTAACAGTATTACGTTTTTTATGTATTCAATCACGCCCAGTGGACAATAACTATAGCTTCAACGTTTGGGCTGTGACCTTTAGATAGTAGTGATTACTGATGGATGAGGGAACTCGACTGCTTTTGTTGTCTCCAACGCCTGCTGTACCTTTCGTCCCCTACACAGCGCACACGTCTTTTGAAGCAGAAAAGCTCAAACAAAAAATATGAAGCACTTTAATAATAATTGCTGACATCACCTTTAAAGAACATTCAGAGTTATCCATCTTCCAAAATCTTGACTTGATTAATTACCTTTATGTTATTTTTTACAGTTGTTTTAGTATCACTTTGATGGTGAATAAATAAATGTTCACACACTGTTTTTCTGGGCTTAGTTCAAATTGTGTTATTATTCAACCATTAACCAAAAGGAAATACTTTAAGCTTTAGTTCTGTAGTCTTTTCTCTACAGGCGTTTCACTTTGGTTGTGTCATAATTAAAGTGTGCAGGTGTTACTAATAACTTGAATTTTAACAGTGAGGCCACCCAAAAATGGTTCTTATTATTCACCTACGCAAGGGTTAAACGGCAAATATTTTTTTCAGAACTTAGAATATTTTTTATATGAATAAACATATGAATGGACATGAGCATCCAAGTGGGGTTGAATGACGACATCTCTCTGACATTAACATGGTGGGACAACAGTTCTGACCAAAAACACGAGAAAAAAAGATAATGATACTTAAAAACCTTATTATGGATTATCACTGGATGATATGGGGATTACACTACTGTATTTACCTGTATAATAATTTTAAACCATGCAGCTTCACTTTGGCAGGTAAGTATGGATTTGATTTCTGCTTGTTGCTTTACCCTAAATCTAGCTTGTTTATACTTGTTTATAGCTGTGTCCCCTAGTTTAATTTCACTAAAATTGAACTATGTAATACTATACTACTAAACTAGTTTCTATAGCTCTCAGTTTGGTGTGTGTTTTCACATATATGTTTTTTTTTGCCTCTGCCACATCTTTCTGCATATTCAGAAAAGTGAAGCTCTCACCCCAAACCATCACATGGCTCCTGCTTACAGGCATAAACAATAAAATGTTTTCTATTATGATAAAGGCATCATGAAATTGCTGTGTTTAATTGATACAGCCATTTTTAAACACTTTTAGCACAGCTCCATCAACAAATACGCCAATGTCAGAATTTCAGCATGAAAATAATGTAGTTGTTTGTCTTGTGCTTCGATTTTTTCATCCAGCCCAAGTGGAACATACAAAGGGGAACAGACTCCAAGGAGATGCAATTCAAAGGAAGATCATGCATTTAACGATGGACCACAGTCCAAGAAAGTAAAGAGCCGCTGTTTATGAGGCAAGGCACACAAAATCTTTATGTTTTATAGTGTATTATTTTTCATTTTGGAGATTTTTCATGAGAGTCTAGCATGTAAAACTGTTGTAAAAGATCAGAGGATTTAATGCACACTAAAACACACTTGTATCAAAGAGAAAGACGTATGTGTTTAGTACTGGAGGTCAACAGATCAGACAGAAACACAAAATATAAAATCTAGACATTTATTGATTGTCTAGATAATAATTCTTATATTTATCTCATTATAACATGTTGTACTAGCACATCTTTCAAGTTTTATTAGCTTATTGCTTCAACAGCCCTGATTGAAGGGTAGCGATACAAAGGAAAAATAAACAAACAAGATGTCTGAATTCTAAGTGTGAGTGGGCGAAAGATTGATGGCGCTGATTGCTACATTGTGAAGGTCTGACAGATTATTCACCGTGCGATTGGTTTTCAGCAGCTACAGCTCACGGTTGCCAATCTACACAATGGAGGCATACCGGTATTGCCGCTGGGCTTTGGGTTTGTAGTGATGTACTACCGAGGATTAAAGACTTCATAGCTGGGGATTACAGAGGTTGACAACCTTTAACCACCACACACTCGAAACAGGAAACAGGAAACTACAAGGCCAGGCAGATCCTTGGAAAGTAAATTGTACATAATCAAATCCCTGAAGTGAAAAAGTACATTTGAATTTGAGGTCTGCATTATACTTCTGGTCAAGTTGACATTTTCAAGACGTAAGGACATTTTTATAGTGTAAGGTATTGCAGAAAGTGTTTTGAGGAACAGATAGACGACTCAGCTCAGCCTGTCGTTAAGCCCTAACTCCCTTGTCTTCATTTCCTCCCCTGTCCTCTCCTGACTGTCTCCTCTCATGCTCCAGTGTTAGAGACTAAGACAGATTGTTAACGGGAGTGTAAGTGAGTAAATTAGCAGCTTTCCTCCCTAAAAGTTACTTTTCCCTCCCTCAAGTGTTTCTACAATTGTGGCTACTTGCCAGCATGAAGTGTCAGTCATTTTTCCTCGTATAGCTGAAAACCAAAGGAGATAAAAGAGAAAGGAAAGCTCCCCTGATCCGGCTGTAAGAACGCAGCAAAACACGTCCAAAAGTGAGCACAGCGTGTACCTCCTGCTGGCAGCGTCTGTCTGTACTTTTTTGGGGGGTTGAAGACTTATATTTTAGCTTGTAAAAATGGAAAAGGAGTATTAGGTCTTGACAAATCCAGTTTATCCTATAACAATGTTCAACAACATTTTCTATTATTATTCATATCACTTGAATTGACTGGATTACCTAACCTTGAAACTATGTAAAAAATAAATAAAAAATACATGTAACTAGTTTCTCAAAAATTGTTTGGTTCTATCCAGTGATAGTGATAGAACCAAAGTACTTTGATTCTATCACAAGCATGTATTTTTGACTTCTGTCACATTTTCTTTGTTGAAAGAGAGAAACATCCTTCACTCAGCCAAGCAGCTCTCAGTATGTTAAATATATAATATAGAAACAGCATGTTGTGGTCAGATTTCTTTCACAAAATGTTACTTAAACAAGACAATTTCGGCCGGGACAAACAAAATGAACTTATGAACTAAAACTCAAGTTTACTTTGCTGTTTGGATTCTTGGGTAAATTGATAAAATCATAATAATCCTAAATATAGTAGACTGCAGTGCAATATATAATAGCAAGTTTTTCTCTTAGAGTATTCCACAGTGATTAATGACTAATGTCTGCTCAGAGGCACTGACATATTGCAGGATTTACAGCATTTGTGTTTATCTTTTTCAGACGACTCTGTCCTCAAAGGTCATCAATCCCACACACTAGATGAGAAGAGTGATGTAAGCAGAGCCGTGTGTGTGAGTGGATTTCCCCTCAAAAACACTGCAGCATGTGGCCAAAACAAACTGGGGCTGATGGTGCGCCTCTAGCCTCCGGTGTCTCTGGCCTGCCTCTCGACTGCAGCCCTGGGACCAGCGCTGCTCAGGGGGAGGAGCGGAGCGGGCTGCCCTGGTCCTCCCACCGGCTATAAGACCACAGGCAGACGGAAACAATCAGACAGCAGGCACACGTGGAGCCGACGCTGGGAGACGACAGGGGTCTGCAGCTGTGAAGGAGACTCAAATAATAACAGTTACAATAGAGAGGTAGGAGCGATCTCTGAGTACATGGACTGAGCTGTGTCAAATACTAGCATCTTTCTAAGGATTATATGAAGGACAAAGTATTGAGGGATGCCAAGTGTTTATTTATGATCTACTTGGGTCTAGTAAACAGAGATCCTTGCAATAACAGAGTTTGCATCCCAGAAGTTTGTGTCACAGGTGCCAGTCGGTTGTCGTCTTTGGGACTTTTCAAACTGTCATCTTTACAAGACAGGCAAGAGAACACCTCTCAAGGATTTGGCCGTCTTCTGATTTGCTGGTGAAGATGACTTTTGCCATGCTCCGCACAGCGCCTCCCGCAGGCCGCTTCATGTACGGCGACATTGCTTTACTTTCTGAAGATGATGACGAAAATGGAAGCGAGGGCTCTGGTTCGGATGAGCGTAATTCTGCCTTCCGCCTGTCGTCCTCGTCCCCTTCTGCATTTCATATCAAGGTGAACAGGAAGAGGAAGCTGTGTGCAGGTATAGGGGGGGCCATGCTGGGGAGACTTGCCCCCCCTGGGTCTCCTCCAAATGGTGTTGGGGAGGTGCGCCAGAGGACAGCTGCCAACGCACGGGAAAGAGACCGCACCAACTCTGTGAATACGGCTTTCACTGCTCTGCGCACTCTCATCCCCACTGAGCCTGCAGACAGGTACACTCTAAACCAATGTTTTCAATTCAATGTTATCACACAGTGTCTTCACAGTTGCATTCACTTTTTGAGATCAACATACAATACAATACAAGTGTGTCCTTTGCGTTTGTCATTCAGGAAACTGTCAAAGATTGAGACGCTGCGCCTGGCAAGCAGTTACATCAGTCACCTGGGCAACGTGCTTCTGCTGGGGGAGGGGCTTCACGATGGACAACCGTGCCACGAGCCCTCATCTCCGTTCTTTCACGTCAATTCCTCCCCAAACCGCGGCTCTGACCAGTCCGCACAACCGAAACACATCTGCACCTTCTGCCTCAGTAACCAGCGCAAAATGGTAAGAGTCAAAGCCAAGCCGTCCACAATCAAACTCTGTTATAAAATGTCTTAATATTTCAACATAAAGTAAGTAAAGAAAAATCAAAGAACAGTAGTATTAGCATTTGTTATTTTTGTTTTGTAGTGTATGTGCAAACTCACTGCAATTTCCTGTAACCATTTAGCTAATTAAGTTAGACATGTAGTTAGTTGGCTGCCATTCGTCAAAGCAATGTCAGACAATTTGGGTTTTTAATCTGATTAAAGCTGGGAAATCTGTTTAATTTATCTTTATAGGATAATGATTAAATCTTCTCCCAAGTCACAGTCAGGGCACTTTAGTGTAAGTGTACCATAGCGTGACACTCCTTTTGGGAGAGTGGTGGGGTTTGGGGTCAATTTTATGGTGAAGCTGACCTAAGATCAGTGACTGAGGCTATAAACCCGATTGGCCCTCAGGGACTTTAAAAGCAAAACCTTTTAAAGTTCGGCTTTTTGGTGAAGGCTTATGTATACAGCACTTTTGGGAGGTGGATTTACTCAAGCAGGTGGCACAAAAGTTCAAGGTGGTTCCGGGGCTGCCTGGACATTTGGCCAAAGCTCTGAATGTTTTTCTGTTGTTGCAGCTACAGAGGTCAAACAGCATGCAGTCTTATTGTAAACAAGACAGACCAAATGTGCAAAGGCCTTGTTTTAAAAAGCCTGACCTTAACTGAGATGTTTTTTCTCTATTTTAAAATCAGACTTTTACTAGAGTATTTATACGGCGAGAAAGAGAGAGGGAGATTTACAACTGGGAGCCCTTGACAGAGTTCCAAAACCATGTGTATAATTTCAAGAATGTATTGACGTCAGACTGAATATGAGAAGGTTTCAATCATAACTCTTCAGGAACCTCAGAACCAGAGATTGACTGGCAGCAAATCAAAATGAAGTTGCACAACAGTTTTTTCCAAATATATTTATACTCCTTGTATCAAGAAGAAATACATATTCAATACTCGGTGTTCAGGCAATCTGAACAATATTCAAATGTTTGTATTTTAGGGCCCTAATGACATCTCTGTCCATTTTAATTTATTATGGCAATTTCCTTGGTTAGTACCTTATCAGTCTACACCTTAAAGAGATATAGACAGAGATTTGATCTGGTGTGATTTCAGCTTTAAGTGATTCAGTTCAGGAAACGGCCATAATCAGGAACACACTGAGTGGGAGAAAAAGTCGTCAGTCTGATGAAAAATCACAGGAAATCAAGAATGTATTTTTCTACCTACGTGTCTGAATCAAATTTATAGGACTCCTGCTTCTACTTCAGCAAACACTCCAGAAGATGATAGAGAGGTGACGTTTCTACGCTCTCCCTCCCTGCAAAGCAGCCGCTGCCCATTTAGCAGGATTTATGGGTGAAGGGCTGACATCTGGCATACTCCCCCGTTTGCCCCAGCAGTGTGTGAAAGCCAATACCCGACTCACTGTCTAAACTCTGGGACCCTGGCGCTCTGGGATAACCCTATAGTCTCAGTGAGCACCCGCAAAAACTAAACAGAAGGTTCACAGTCAAACGCCTTTAGCTTTGCATTACTACATCACACCTGTCTCCATCCACCTCTGTGTTTTTATGTGGTCACTTATTTTATAGCTTTACAGAATTAGATGATAGTATTCATCTTTTTGGGGCAGTAGTGCAGCATTCCCCCACCAAAAGTATACCTGCTTTTACTAGTCCACACTATGTCCTGAATGACCCTTGCCTCCAGTGTCTGCACCAGTGTAGATTGCCCAAAAGGGTCAACCACCTGTTGCTCCACAGGTTGTCCTTTACTTCGTCCCATTTACTTCGACATGTGTCCCTCGGCGTGGTACCACATAAATGCTATAACATCATAATATAAAACAGATTACTCAATTAATAATTTGGGGGTTCTGTCCTTTGACGTATTATCTGATCTATTGTTATTCCAGACGCTGGTATTGTGTTATCGGGATGAATGACCTAAATTACCCTTTTTTTTTGTCTCGAAAAGCACAATATATGTTATAGGCATGTATATATTATTGCTTTAAAGCGCATCATATTTCTGTGCCAATCCCAACTAATGCAGTCCATCATACGTACTGGTGGGTTCCAAGGTAAAAAGTTACATAAACCTGGACTGAGATTTTAACCTTTTTGTGAGGGTTGTATTTTTGTAACATTGTAAATTCATGCAATTTATTATTAAGCTTACTATGAAATACACTAGGTACTGTGATATTTGCGATAGTCTTTTTGGCGTATAGGGCCCTTTCACTGCGCTCCTCCCTGCAGACATCATCTTGGTGCTTTGCCCGTATTGATCAGCCCCGTGGAGGTCACAGCGTCTGTCAGTGAGCGCAGTGTAACCCAATCTTGTGCTGTCAAAACGCTACTGCACACCTACATTTGACCCGCAAACGCACGCTGGGCAGAAAACAATCCAGAGAGTTTTCTCATGTCAAAACCTTCAAACACAGACGCCTTTGACCAAATATCTTATTTATCACCAGGCGGGTTACGCTGGTTTTCATTAGAGCTGCTACAATGCGCCATATTTCTCTGCTTTGAATTATTGTGCTTTCAAATATCATGTGGAGACTTTATGGTTTAAGAGAAGCAGGTTGAAATGTAGTTTGGTCTAGTATCTTTTGTTATAAAGAAATATTATTTTTGATGCTAAGCAATCATTCACCAAAACATTTTCACCGACAGAAAGGACAAATATTCAGGTAGACTGAAGCAAAATGTATCATGATTTGAGTGTATTAAACTGTATTTATAGAAGATAAAAGTGTTTTACCTTGTACCAAATGAGCAATTATTTGTTATTTTATTATTTAGATAAATCTAAAATTTAATTTTCAGGTAGTTTTAAGTCATGCCATATGTATTTTTGATAAGGCTGGTCCCTGTGATGAGAGAGTGATTGGCAGAAAGCTCCTTGAGTCCCTGGAAAAGCAGCTCTCAGTGTGAGTGGGCTGAAGGGCAGAGCGGGTGATTACAGAGAGGAAACCATTGTGAAGTTAGAATGAGTCTTTGTGTCCAGAGTGCTGCCTCTGTATGTTTTTCTGGTCCTTGAGGTTCATCACAGCTGTCAGCTTTGCTTAGACCGGCCGACTCAATTATGGTTATTTCCAATGAGGAGCAGAAAGTGAGAAAAGTAGGGGCCATTTCCTACTATTATAGTGCACATAGTGTAACTATTTCAAAACAAACAGACATGTCAGTGGTTTTCTACTTTTCTACTGAGCTGAGAGGGCTATCTGTTACATATTCCAACAATTATGAACTTCTGAACAGTAGGTGTGTTTAGGTACGAAAGGTAACCCAGTTACCTTTTGACCTTTTGAGTTAAAATACACAAACACACACACACACACACACATATATATATATATATCGATAGATATATATATATATATATTAAAATTCAATGCACACAAAAAACAGCGTTAGACTTTAACATTTAACAGTAAAAAGTAGTAGTCTGTAGTAGTAGGCTACACACAGAGAGATTGTCAACAATATTGTCCAGGACACTCTTGAAAAAGACATTATGAATCTCAATGTTAGGTCAAGGTTCAACATTTACACTGCATAAAAGAGACAAGAAGAACATATTCTCAGAATATTATTCTGTATAGTCGCTAGGAAAACAATATAATTTGCTTTTCTCTCATTTATGTTTTTTTTTTTAGGATGATGTAATGCACTTAATAAATTTGTTACCGTCTGGCCATTACATCTCAGAGGTACAATATTGTTTTGACTGGGTTGCTCTGTCCAAAAATATTATTGTGTAAAGAGGGAAGAGGTCAGAGAGAGGGGAACATAAAACAGGAAACTAAGCCTTGAAGCCACTTGAAGCAGTTCAATGATCATATACCTACACTTTGTTATCAATCATAAATTAGTTGTAAACGGAGTTATCATTTTTGGTTCTTCAGTCAATTTGAAGTACAATAGTTGAGGGCACAAGCTCATGTTTTGAACCTTATTTCACTGCTGTCATGTGTCTTTCCGTGCACCACAATGGGAAAACACTACTTATAATACATTTGGGATAAATTCAGCATATCCACTCTTTCCTCTATTAAAACTCTCGCATTACCCCGCCATTTAGTTAAAAAAGCTTTTTGACTCTGAGGTTTAAAGGCCTCCAGGCTGTTATAATCATGACAAAGTCTGTTTGTTTAGTAAGGTTTCAGAACCAAACAAAAACACTCAACATTTTCAAATGTGTAAATCTGCTCACTATAACCGCCCCAACAGCACATTAGCAATTTTACAGCTTCCTTTACAAATGCTGCTTGTTTCTCTTGGTCTGCAACATGACAGGGCCAATTCAGTTCACTAGTACAGTACTTGTGGAATTTGACAGTAACCACTGACAACTAATTTATCTGGGTTTGGGATTGGCATCTTTACTGGATATATGATGCAAAATCCACTTTTATAGCTTTTCACATTAATGTTTCTATCCCTGCCCACAACCCCATGGTAACGATTTAAAATATTGCGTAAATGAGGGTTAGGGAAGGTAGGCAGCATGACCCAGAAGTGCAATGAACAAATGTAAAATGGAATATACTGCACCGGTATTTAATTTATTTTACTGACGTTTATTTCAGAATCTCTTTTTCATAGATCACTGCAGAACAGGTACACTCTTGAATAAACAAGCATCATCGATTTGCTGCCTCCTGTCCAGGACTCACTTGAGCTCAATGGGTATTTCCTGGTTGAGTATAGGTTAAATAAAAAATAAAAAATTATCAATATGGGTTGCAGCAAGGAAACAGGTTGTTATTGCTATTCTCACTACTGCCTGCAAGTGAAAAGGCCTCTGACGTTTGGTTGTAAATACTGTATTGCTACTTGATTTTGATAAATGAAAGTCATTTTGACGTGCTTAAGTCATTGTTAGGCATAAAGTAACACGAGCTTCCTAGAATAACACAACTTTTAACAGTATATAATTTAGCTGCACTGAAGTAAAT